TGTGCTTATACTCTACCACTAGAGCTTCTCCCCAACTCATAACTGGGCTTTTATAAAGTTAACCATGCCCTTAGCACTTGATAATCTTATTTCTAAATATTTTCCAAGGCAAATGATAATGACTCAGCAGCGATCTTATTCCTAGCTATTTACCCAAGAGGAATGAAAACCTATGCTCATACCAGTACTTATACACAGGTGTTATACTGTCTTTATAATAGTTACTTAGAGCCTGCTTTTGGTAAAAAACAAAAAACTGTAACAGAGTCCACCACATGGGCCCACAAGTTAACTAAAATCATCCTGCCTCCATTTGTATGTTTCCTTTGCTCCAAATCGCTGTAACCTTTTTTTTTTTTTTTGGCAGTCATGGGATTTGAACAAAGGCCTTGCATTTGTTAGGTACGTGCTCTACCACTTGAGCCATATCTCCGGCTTCTGAGTTGCTCTTGCACTCACCTTGAATTCTAGTAGACAGGACTGATGTGTAAAAACACCTTGCAAATAGTGAAAACTACCACCAGGTAACAATGACTGACCAGGCCCGGACTGACCAATCCTGAGTTAATGAGCAACCCAGCAACACCTTTGACCACACTCTGCCTGTGTTGGCCTGGAGCATAATAAATCTCCTTTCTCTGATCTTCACCACTACTTGTCTCCTTAATTGGTGCAGTGGAGTGAGTGGTTAGACCTGACCTGTTGGAACCTTCCAACTTGCTCCTCTGGTTTCAGCTTTACTGTAAGCGCTAGAATGTGGAAACACCCCAAATGTCCCTGCACTGCAGAATGGATAAAGACATAACTGTGGCACATGCATCAATGGAACGCACTACTGACCTACAGAATGACAACAGTGACTCTCACCTGCTGAAAGAACCATGATCAAGACTGCACACTCAGGCTCCATATCTGTATTTCCTGCCTGAAGACAGGGTGTATGTCAGCACGGGAGAACTTACTCCAGCAGGATTAGGAGTCACAGAGTCAAATAACTTCCAGTTTGCAAGGACCAGGCCCTTGGATTTTCATTTTTCAGGGAAAGTGACAATAAACTGTATATAAGCACTTATACACAGTACTTCTCAATATTTACTATCTGTCATGGAGAATGGTCACTGGCAACATGGAAAACAAAAAACTTCTGAAGTGGCAAGTGACTCCTGAAATTACTTTTTGATGCTGGGGATCAAACCTAGAGCCTGGTACCTGTCAGGCAAGTGCTCCACTCCTGAGCTAACCAAAAGCTTACAATTGCTTTATTTTTTTAAGACAGAGTCTTACTGTTACCCAGGCTGCCCTTGTACTCCTAGTCCTCCTGCCTCAGTCTCCTGAGTAGCTGGGATTAGAGGCATAGCCACCTTTCTGGCTAACTGATAACTTTTAAAGTAGAAAATTCCACTCGAAGATTATGATTTAACTTGTGCAATGCACTAAGACACCTAACTTTTTTGTTGCTGTTTTTTTATTTGGTTTGGCTTTCTTGAGACAAGATATTGCTCTAGAGCTGTTTGACCCAGAACTCCCAATCCTCCCTCTCTGCCTCCCAGTCTGGGATAACAGGTGGGCGCTACTATGCTGGGCAACACTTAGCTTTTTACCTAGATGAAATAACTTTTCCTAAATTACATTTGCTCATTTTGATTCCATGTTTTGTTTTGTTTTTTAATGCATGTCAGATGAGTGAAGCAGTAGTTACTGATGTGTTGATTCCACATAGAAATTCCTAAGGATTGGTGCTAGGAGAGGCAGCTCTTCACTCACTCATGCTCAGTGCTTGGTACTTAAACTTCAGCAGTCCACAATGTCCACTACTCTCTTTTCTCACCAACGGTGCCACCGTATATCAGCATTAGGGACTTGATGTTGAAATATAACGAACTCCAGTATCTTTTCTTCCATCCAGTTCATGCAATCAAAGTGAAGCTTTAGGAATTGTACTTAACCAAACAATGCGTAGAACATCGGTGAGCATGCTGCTAAATTTGGCTATGAATTCAACACTGAACATAGAAAACTGCTTTTATGCTTACAAGTTTAGGGGGATGGTACTGTGTCGTGAGGAAATTGCCTTATTGTACCAAACTCTAGGGAATATACTTGCTCATGAACAATTGTGGAGCCCCATGCTTCTGAAGTGCATGCAGAAGGGAAATTTGAGACATTGGTACGTGATCCATGGACAGGCCCGAATTGAGTGAACCAGTGGGTCGGCCCAGAGGCCCTCTTGGCAGCTTTTATCTTCTGCTTCTCCATTGCCAGCTGACATTTCCACTTGTTACCTATTATGAACAAGGCTGCTACAAACACTCACGCAGAACTTTTGTGTGGACACAGCTTTCGCAGCTCTTGAGTATGTACTGCAGGAGGGGAACTGCTGAGTCATGATGACTATATTTAATCTTTTGAGAAACTACCACTGTTTTCCAAAGTGATTCCTCCATTTAAATTCCCACAGCACTGTATGTAGGTTCTAGGTCCTCCATACCTTCATCGACACTTGTTACTGATTTTTTTTCTTTCAACCATACCCATTCTACTGGATGTGGTGGTATGGTAGCCTTTTGTTTGTTTGGGTGGTGGCACTGGTACTCAGGACCTCAACCTTGTTAGCGAGGTACTGTACCATTTGAGCTATGTCCAGCTCATGAAGTAGTTTTGCTTTTCTTTTGGCAGTACTGGGGTTTGAACTCAGAGCCTCACATTTGCTGGTCAGGCGCTCTACCACTTGAGCCACTCTGCCACTCCCTGATTTGTTTTTCCCTGACGAGTGTTGATGCTGGGTAACTTCTCATGTGCTTATTGACCAGTTGCCTATCTTCTTCAGAGAATGGTCTTCAGATTATTTGCCCATTGCTTAATTGGGCTTTCCATCTTTTATTATAAGTTTTTTATATGTATTCTAGATACAAGTTCCTTAAGAAATACATGTTTTACAAGTATTTTTTCTCCCATTCTGTGAGTTGTATTTTTCACCTTCTCGATGGCGTCTTTTGAGGCACAGAATCCTTTTTGAGACATGGTCTTACCATGTAACCCTAGCTGACCTACAACTCACAACCTTCCTCCTTCTGCCCCGCCCTCCCCCCAACTCTGGGCAGCCTGTACCACCATGGGCTAAACTTTTGATTATATCCAATTTATCTATTTTTCTTTTGTTGCCCATACTTTTGGTGTCATATCTAAGAAACCATTGCCTGACCTCAGAGCATGATGTACACCTGTTTTTTTCCCTAGACTTCTACTGTTTCCAGCTTCTACATTTAGGTGTTTGATCTCTTTGGAGTTATTATTTTGTATATGTGTGAGGAAGGGGTCCAATTTCATTCTTTGCACGAGGATATTGGTACCCAGCACCACTTGTTAGATGATTATTTTCCAATTGAGTTGATGGCACTGTTCTCTTCAATCGACAGTACATGTCAGAGTTTGTTTCTGGCCTTTCAGTTCTGTTGTATTGATCTGTATCTATCCTTATGCCATTATCACACAGTCCTTGTTATATAGCTTTTTAGTAACTTTTGAAATCAGAAAATGTGAGTCCTCCTACTTTGTTAACATTTGTTTTGGCTACTCAGATTTTCATATGAAATTTAGGGTCAGCAGCTTGTCAAACTTTTGTTATAAAATGTCAGCTGGGATTTTATCGTGTGTTTGCGTGCATTCGCACTTTATGGATGGAAGAGCTGGGATTTTGACAGTGTGTTGAAATTTTAGATCAATTTGGGCAACTGTGTCACATTAAGCAACTGAATTTTGGGGTGGCCTGTTGTGCAATGATAACTCACCCACCATTGGTGGTGCCTCTGCTTTGTTACAGAGGAACACATATGAGGATGAATCCTTTCTATAAAGAATAAAGCTGTCTGTAGGTGTCTCCTTCTGAACAGCAAAGGGACTTTTCTTAGAACAGAGTCTGGGCCTATAGCAAAGCCATACACCATGGTGGTTAGCACAGTGGAGCAAAGCTGTTCACCTCTTGACAGATGGGATGCAAAAGAGGAAAAGGCTGGAGTTCCCAATAGCCCCAGGTTCTTCTGGGTCTACTGCATTGTAGGTGGGGTGCCCTTAAGCACTGCACCTCTTCTAGAGGACTCACAAGACTTAGTGTTAGGTCACAGAAGGATGGAATGTAGCTTTGAACTGCAGGTTACAGCCTTTCAGGTTATAGATGAGAAGACTAAGGGTCAGAGGATTTTTTTTTTTTAAATAACCAAGTCATCCAGCTAGTTTCTGATAGAGGCAAGAGCAAAAACCAGTATCTCCTTCAAGGGCACAACCCAATGACCTACTTCCTCCAATTAGGCCCCACCTTCCAGTTTCTAGCACGTCTCAACAGTGCCACCAGCTGGGCAACAAGCCTTCAACACTTGAGCCCTTGGGGGACATTTCAGATCCAAACAATGCTGCTTATACTCCACTTCTAACAGAAAGAGTCCCAGAGTGCAGGCTGAGAACCTCACGGGCGACCAGGCAGATGTTAGCCAAGGCTAGAGTGAGACCACTGCTGAGATTGAGGGAGTGTTAAAAATATTCCACAAGCCGGGTGTGGTGACACACACCTGTGGTGCCAGCTATTTCGGGGGCTGGGTGGAAGTGTCTCTTGAGCCCAGAAATTTGAGCAAACCTGGGCAACACAGAGTGAGCTCATCTCAAAAAAAAAAAAGTTCAGTCTGTATTCTTCTACTTTTTATGGGGACTCCAATGGTAGTTTTTGCCCAAATTGTTCTGTTTCTGAGTATTTAGTGAGGTAATTCTGAATGAGAGAAAATCTACTTCAGGGTACATGGTCTTGTTTTTCTATTGTGTATAGAATGGTGAGAAGTCAGGCTGGATTCAGGACAAGGGCCGAAGATACCCTTGTGAGGATAGTGTACTCTTAGCACGCTCCCATTACCTTTGCCTTTCAGTGCCTCAGCTCCTAGTTCTATTCCTTTCTGATAGGTTCCCAGGCAGGGTGGGAAACAGGTGACAAGTAGCAGAGGAGACAAGTTTGTGACTCACTCTAGGCCTGGGCTGCAGCCAGGTCAGATGCCTGTTTTATTCAGACAGGCAATGCTGGCATGGGATGCGGGCCCCACCTTTCTACATTCCAAGACGACAAGGAGCAGAGCCAGAATCTAGAAAACTATTGCCCAGATGGAGATAACCAGGAAAGACTATGCTAAGTCAGCATAAGGCAAAGACTGGCCAGAATGAGAGAGTAAAAGAGGTGGCAGAAAGGACTTTGGCAGCTTGAGCCATGTCAGAGCCTAACGGAAGTAGTTAGGACACTCATGGGCAACCAGGTGCCAGGCTTGATTAAAGGCTTCCACAACAGCCGGCTCCAGGGGCCCTTCCTCAGTTGCAGCCAAGTTCTGCTCCAGCTGTTCCAGGCTGGACATGCCCAGGATGACGGCATCCCCGAGAGCAGCCTGCAAGGGAAAACAGCCAACGTCAACACATTTCTGTTGCCTAGGGGCTCCAGTCAGACATTGCTCCTTGCCCAAGATTTGAGATCTATATTTATCTGTATTTATCTGATTTATGTCCTGTATACCCAGAAAAAATTGAAGGTGCCTTTGTGCTACCCCCTGCTCATCCACACAGACCTAAGTGACTTCTTTCACTCAACAGCTGGTAAACAGCTTTGTTATTTAAGCTGAGACTCACTCTTCAGTGTGGATTTGAGAAGAAAAAGTTATGTAAAGCATCAGGCCCCATTTATCGAGCATCCACTATACACGTCAGACACTACACAACTGTCTGAGGCTCAAGCCAGAGAAGTTGCACAAGGAAAACCAGGGCCCCCAAGAAAAGGACCTGAGCTTCCATCACAGGAGTGACATGGGTTTTGCAGTTAATCCTGGAAAACATTAAGATTTCTAAACTTGGGGTGAAGGTGTGGCTGAAGCAGTTAAGAGTATGCACCTAGCAAGCATGAAGCCCTGAGTTCAAACTCCAGTACCAAAAAAAAAAAAGATTCCTATGCCTGTATTAGCTACATGGACTCCAGTTTCCTTATCAATAAGGGAAACTCATAATTCCTGAGGCCTAATTAATAATTTAATGCATGTTTGTAAGACTCTTATTACAAGCCTAGCACTTGGATGACATCAAAGAACAATGGAAAGATAGCCATGAGAAGTGGAAGAAAGAGAAATTTCAGAAGATAACACACGCTTTAGAAGTCACCTAAAGGTAACTCTGGGTCTCCTAGAAGGGAAGAAGCTGAGCACACAGGGATGCTGGGCTACCTGCAGCTGGGAATGGTGGTACATCCACCTCAGGGCGGCCGAGGTCATGCTGGGAATATTGGTGTCATAGGCGGACTGCAGGGCCATCTCCACCAGGGCGATGGCCTTGAAGTGGTCCTCCTTCCAGAAGCTGAGCAGGTGGGAAGTGTGACACAAGGGTTAGGACCTTGGGAGTCACAGTAGGAGCTACAGAGCCAACCAGGGCCACTGCCCCCACCCCAAGTTCTACAGCGCTGATGGGCCACTGTCCTTTCTAGCAGTGGACACTTTACTTCTCCTCTGTAGGCTGCTGGCTCCCTCATGGAGACCTTTTATTCTTGAGAACTCCTAAGCCTGCCCTTCTTTTACCTAGTGAAACATAGTAGCTACTACAAGGGCAAGATTTAGCTTTCTCTTTCCTTCCTGGCAGGTGAGTCCTAAAGGACCTACACGGTCTGTCCTGGGGTCCTTGTTTCCTCACAGAGGTGTTAAGAGAATAAGAGACCCCACAGAGAGTATGGTAGTTCTCGTAGGAATTAAAAGACATAGGTACAGGCAGCAATTGGGGGGTTTATCTCCAGGAGGACAGACTAGAACTTCATTTCAGAGTAAGGGACTCTCCATCCTACCCATGGTGGTGCAGACAGCCTCAGCTCACCGATTCCTGTAGGTCTCAGCCCAGTTATTCCCAAAGAAGCGGCCTGCAGGTTGTTTGCTGTCCTTGTCCTCATACTTGTACTTGCCGGTCAGCAGGCCCCCTGCAGAAAGGATACAATCAGACCCCTGGCTCAGACTCCTCCCAAGGCTGACCAGATCCTTCATAGTTCTGGACTGGGGGATGGAAGGAGTGTGTACAAGGAGGAATAAGGTCACAGCCCAGTCTCTTGGCAAAGCCCTCCTGCACCCCTGGGCCTGGGCTGCGCATCCATCAGGGCAGGAACAGACAGGGCCCATCCAGGAATGCCCACCCAGCACAGAGGGGCCGTCCCCATGCAGCCATACCAGCCAAGGGGTTGTAGGCATAGAACCGCAATCCAAAGTGCCTGAGGCAGGGAAAGAGCTCGGTTTCCACCTGCCGGGTGGTGGCGTTGTACATGCCCTGCAGGGAGAGGGGTAGGTGGAGAGGGTGGATATGTCAGGGGAAGGGATCCACCCAGGCTTCCTCTTTTTTATTTCATTTCAATTCATTCATTCATTTAATTTTTTGGTAGGACTGGGAATTGAACTCAGATCTTCACACTTGCAAAGCAGTCGCTCTACTACTTTAACTACACCTCCAATACATTTTGCTCTGTTTATATTGGAGATGGGGGTCTCATGAAGTATTTGCCAGGGCTGGCCTCAAGCCACCATCCTCCCAATCTCAGCCTTTCAAGTAGCTAGGATTATAGGCGTGAGCCAGCTGCCTTCCTCTTTTTTTTTTGGTGGGTCTGGGGTTTGATTTCAGGGCTTTGCACTTGTAAAGCAGGCACTCTGAGCCACACCTTCAGTCCTCTTGGTTTTTTGTTTTGTTTAAAAAAATTATTTTTCGCTGGTAAATGGATGGAATTGGAGAACATCATTCTGAGTGAGGTTAGCCTGGCTCAAAAGACCAAAAATCGTATGTTCTCCCTCATATGTGGACATTAGATCAAGGGCAAACACACAAGGGGATTGGACTATGAGCACATGATAAAAGCGAGAGCACACAAGGGGGGGTGAGGATAGGTAAGACACTAAAAAACTAGGTAGCATTTGTTGCCCCTTAATGCAGAGAAACTAAAGCAGATACCTTAAGCAACTGAGGCCAATTAGGAAAAGGAGACCAGGAACTAGAGAAAAGGTTAGATTAAAAAGAATAACTAGAAGGTAACACCACGCACAGGAAATAATGTGAGTCAATGCCTGTATAGCTATCTTATCTCAACAGCCAAAACCCCTTGTTCCTTCCTATTATTGCTTATACTCTCTCTACAAAAAATTAGAGATAAGGGCAAAATAGTTTCTGCTGGGTATTGAGGGGGGGAGCGGGGAGGGGGTGGAGTGGGTGGTAAGGGAGGGGGTGGGGCAGGGGGGAGAAATAAACCCAAGCCTTGTATGCACATATGAATAATAAAAGAAAAATGAAAAAAAAAATAAAAATAAAAAAATAAAAAAATTATTTTGGAATTGTTTTTGGAGATGACGCCTTGAATGAATCCTGGGGTAACCTAGAACTCCTGGGCTCAAGTGATCCCCCATCTCAACTTCTCAAGTAGCTGAAACTATAGGGTCTTATCATTGTATCCAAATCTCTTCTCTTTCTCTTCTCTCTCTCTCCCTGTGTGTGGTGTGTATGTGTGTTACTGAGGTGTCTCATACTTGCTAGGCAGGTGTCTAGCACCACTTGAGCCATGCCCCGAGCCTTTTTTGCTTTAGTTATTTTTTGGATAGGGTCTCACATTTTTGCCTGGGCCAGCATGGGACCATGGTCCTCTTATTTATTCCTCCCATGTAGGCTGGGATGACAGGCACATGCCACCATGCTCAGTTTATTGGTTGAGATGGGGGTCTCGAGAACTTTTTGCCCAGGCTTAGCCTCAAACATGATCCTCCAGATCTCCTCTCAAGTAGCTAGGATAACCTGCCAATCTTCTTTTAAAACTCTAAATCAATCCCAGCACTTAGGAGCCTGAGGTAGGAGGATCTTGAGTTCAAGGCTAGCCTGGGCTACATAGGAAGTTCAGGCCCATCTAGGGTACACAGAGAAATCCTGTCTCAAAATTAATTAATTAAAAAATAAATTAAGATCTCAATCCATACCAGCCTAGGACTTTTATAATTATTCTTAAAAATCACTAGTGGTTTGGTGTGGCGTGGGGAGACGCAATGCTGGGCCCTAGAAAGAGAAACTGACCTGGAGTCATCTAGAAAGAGAAACTGACCTGGAGTCATCACTCTTCAAATACCTATAGGCCCCTTCTATGGGCCATACACTGGATTTACAACCACTAGCAAAGTTTCTGCCTCCAAGAGATGTTATAGTCAAGTTAAAAATATATACAACAGGCTTGGATATAGCTCAGTGGGTAGAGCACTTGCCTAGCATGCACAAAGCCCTGAGTTCGGTAAGAAGGGAGGGAAGGAAGGAAAGAAACAGACAACAGAGCACTATAACAAAGGAATAAAGGTAGGTTTATAATCATAGTATGTTCTCAAAAAGATTCACTGAATGCATGAAGATGAGGTTTAGTGACTGGGAGCTCCTTGGGGTTGGGGGAGGGGTTTCTAAATGAGACCTGAGCATTCTCCAAGGAGGGGAGGGAAAGGGCAGGGCAGGGCAGGGAAGGAAGGGACCAAGGTATACACTCAGGCAGGAAGTAAGTAGGTGCCTGGTAGCCCGCCTGGGAATATGGGCCTCACCTTGGGATTTATCCACAGGCTTTGAGCACAGAGTGACTACAGGTAGAGGGCTAGGGGTCAGTTCAAGGGGCAGGGAGAACCCAGGATCAGCAGTCCTGGTGCCTAAGGCTAGGGGTGCCTGGCACAGCAGGTACTGCTCACCTGGTACACGGTGGGCATGATCCAGCCGTTGTTCTTGCAGAGGGTGCAGATCTCGGCTACCTCCCAGGAAGCATAGTTGGAGAGGCCAAGCTCCACAAACTTGCCCTGCAGGGGAGAGGCTTGGTGTCAGCCCAGCACAGCCCGGGAGATCAAGAAAGTGACACTGGGGGGAGGGGGATCCTGAGGTTCTGTGCCAGCTGTGCTCTAGGAACCCTGGTGCGTCACTTTCCTGGTAGTGTCAGGATGAGGATAAGAGGACAGACCACCTCCCTCCTGAAGCTCAGGAGGCCACCGTCCTCACCTCCTGGTGCAGCTGGTGGCAGGCACGCAGTGTCTCTTCCACAGGAGTGCCATGGTCAGGTGCGTGTAAGTAGAAAAGGTCCACTTGGGGACACTGTAGCCGCTTCAATGATGTCTCCAGTTGAGACTGAAGACTGTCAGGCTTCAGTGACTTCCCATCCCAAGGATTGGCCTTTGTGGCAATTTTCACTTGGAGGAAAAATGTAAGGTTAGGGAACTTAGTCATTTACTAATGTGAACTTGGCTAAATTACTAAATTCCCCAAATCTGTTTTTCTTAAACTTAAAATTGGGGTGACAATAATGGAACTGTACTGATGCAGAGGTCACAGGGTTAAATAACGTCTTAAATGTGAGTTTTCAATGTCCACCTGTATTCCAGCCACCATCGTTAGTCACGAATCTGCTGGCTGTGCCTAGCATGGCACTAGAGACAGAGTATCTAGAGATGAACTGAAAATGCTGTGCTGGTTCTCTACCCTCCAGAAGCTGTAGTCTAGAGGGTGTTGTGACCACATGGTAAGAGCAGCAAAGACAGCACATGCTGCTCCCAGAGCCCCGAGGAGAGGCCTGAGGCCAACCTGGGAAGTTTTCAATAGATGACCCCAGCTGAGACTCCAAGAATGAATCTTAGCCAACATAAGAACATATGAAAGTCACAGAGGCAAGAAAACACAGATATGACACTACATAGCTTCAGTTCTAAGTTTTAAGAGTATAAATTCCAGGGCAGGTAGTGTGGGTTTTGAGACAAGAGTGCACAGCCTCGATCTCAAATGTTCCCAAACATCTTCCTACCGAATGTGGGCTTGATTAGTCACAGGTTTTGCCAGAGTCTGAACAGGTCAGCTGGTTACCCCTGGTTCAGGATAGAAAAGGAAGGGGGCAGACCTGGAAGCAAGGAGACCAGTGAAGAGGCTGCTGCAAGAATTTAGAGAAGAAATGCAGGTGTCTGGGTCCCTGGCAGTGATCAATCTGAGAGTTGGAGGCACACTGTGCAGGTCACTAGTCTCTCTGAGACTCTCGGAAGCCTGCACATCCATCATCCACTGTAGAGGCAGGGTCCCCATGAGAACAACAGTGCGAATCAATGCATTTACATAGCTTGGAAGTGAGTTAACTGCCTTCCCCAGCAGAGAATCCCAGCTGTCTGGACTGATGGCTGGATTCTGCACTTCTGCTTGGCAGTCAACTCAGCAGGTCAGAGGGGTTTATGCTGATTACGCAGGGGATGGGAGAGAAGTCCACAGCTCCTCCTCCACAGCCCCCCAGGCTTTCTTATGTGAACTTTGCCTAGGGTCTAATCTAAGGACTTTGGCCTAGGGAACTCTTGGACTCAAAGAAGGAAGCAGGGAAGGGCTGGAGAAGAAAACCCAATTCAGAAACAAAATCTTCATTATCAGTGAGTTAGCCAGGCCAAATAGAAAGTGTGGGCCCAAGAGACATTCCCTTTTATCCCTCCAGGTCCATCTGGTGGTGAATCTAAGGAGACTCAGAGAGGATCACTCCACTGACACGGGGAAAGGCCTAGGGATGGCATTGTGTGCCAGGCAATTTCCTGGTACTTCCAATGGCACCAAGCTAATGGGGGGCCGTCTCCCTTCATGCTCTGTTAAGGTGCACCTGCCCACTGGCCACCCTGCCACAGGCCACGTACTTTACACTTCCAAGCCATGTCTGGCCTCAACCTCTAATGCCCCTTTCTTTTATTCTACCTCCAGCAAATGACTACTGATCCTTTAGGACCCAGTTCCGGTGGGTCCTTTGCCTACTGCCTACTTTCAGCTTTGCCCACTGCTGCTCCCTTCTGCACTCCCCACTTCAGTCTTCCCTAGTAGACTCTGAGATCCCCAGTGACGTAGGGAGGCAGAACTTGCCCTTCCCTGTCCCCTCCTTCTCTCCCAGCTGGCATTCTCAAGCTCTCCCAAAGACCCAGAGGTACAGTCAACTACACAGGACAAAGTCTAGGCACTGATCAAAGACCAGGATGAGAGAAGGGTGTCTAAGGGGAAGAGGAGATAGACACAAAGCCTGGTGGGGGACCGGTTATGGGCACCTGCCAGGATTGGAGGCAATGGGGATAGGAAGCGAAGGGCCAGAACTGGCTGGAGTGAGATTGAGGGGCTCCCGAGCTGCAACTCCCAAAGGAAGAAGAGCAGGAGGAAAAGAACCCGGGCGAAGCACAGTCCAGTTGTCCGCGGCTAGCTGTGCCTGAGAGCCTGGGGGTTCACAGAACGGTGGAGTGGGCAGATGAATGTCGACGGAAGCGGGACAAGGCTGTTGGTGCTGACCACGGATCCGTTCTGCACGGTGCAGGGAGATCAGGGGCGACCGTTACCTCTGCAGTCGCCGCCGCCCAGCCCGAGCCCCATGCCGCCCAGGATGCTCTCAGACTGGCCGTCGCTGTACATGAAGGCCGTGTCCAGCTCCGTGTGGCCGCGCTCCAGGAAGGCGCGTACGGACGCGGCGCTGGCGGGCGAGTCCATGCGGCGCCCCATCTCCATGGTGCCCAGAACCGTGGCGGGCCGGTCTGGGGAGCCCAAGCCGGCCCGCAGCTGCTGCGATCCGGACATGGCGAACATGCGTGAGCCCGACGGCCTGAGACTACGCACGCAGCGGCGTGCCGCGCAGCTCACGGCTGCTGAAGCTGCGCGCAGCATGGAGACTGCGCCTGCGCGCTGGGGCGCCTCGCAACCCGCCCACCTTGGGGGGGAGGAGCCAAGGAGGTAAGGGAAGGAAGACAAAGCACAAGGCGCGGCTAGACGCACGCATGCTGCGCGTCAGCTGCACCTCCAGGGACCGTCTGCCAAGTGCGCGACGCGAAAGGCGGAGCAATGCGACTCCAGGAGGCGGGGCGGCGGCGCTGGGTCAGCTGACTGCGGCGGAGGTCGGGGACCAGAAGCTCGATCCCGCGGCGGATCTTGACTTGGTGAGACGGCTGGGGGGCTGGCTGCACACCCAGGGCTGGGGGTCGGGGCTCCTGGCGCCTCTTGCCGCGTCTTTCCAGCACCCTTCTCCAGTCTCTGTCCCTGTCCCACGTGCCCTCCTGTGGAGAGAGGTCCTTAGGACGATGCGCCGGCCGGCATTGGATAGCCCTCGGGGACCCAAGTCGTGGTTGTCCTATCTTAGGGGCGACCAGGAGGGCTTGGCCAGGGTTTGAGGTCCGAGTCTCCTTTGCACCTGCTGGTCCCGGCCGACCAGCCTCTTGTCTTGTGCTGGCTTTGTTTTCCCCAGGGCGGGCTGGGGAGGGGCCTTGCTGCGCTGGCCCCAGCGGCTGCCCTGTCATTATCCCTTCCAACAGGCGGCCCGCGCCTGGCTAAGTCACCAGGAGGGAGTTGTGGCCGCGACCTGGGAGATCTGGAGTGGGTGGAATCCCTAAACCAGGACTCTCCCCCGCCACAGTTTTCCACAGGTCTTTAGGGAGGGAGGCCAGGTTTAGGACAGGTTTCCAAGCGTGTGGGGGGAGGTGGGGAGGAGTGTTAGAAATGTGAAGACAGCAGGGTTACAGGTCTTGTCCAGTCAACTCTTAATGAAGGCTACTGTGTGACCCGGACCCTGGGGGAGGGGGATGGGCTACACCAAGAATAGACTTCCTTGAATATCACTCTTGAGTGTTTTGCCCTGTGCCAGGCACCGTTGTAATCACTTAGATGGATTATCTCAAATAACTTTGTAGTCAGCCTGAGAGGTGAGTTACTTGCATTATTCCCCCAATTTGCAGATTAGAAAATTGAGGCTTGATGCCTTGCCCAGAAGTTTTAGACTAACACACAACAGGCAGGTTAATTTTCCTCCTCAGTCCTAAGTCCCTCGGAGTTTACAGGTTTTCTTTCCTTTCCTTTCTTTGTCTTGAGTTCTTTCTTTCTCTCTCTTTTGCTCCCTCCCACCCCCTGCTCCCCACATTTTCTGAAACTTTATTGTGCAGTTGGTACTCCTAGACCCTGAGATTGAAGTGTACAACCAGAGTGAGGGGAGAGGAGTGCGTTTACAGAGCACCGGTTGCCCAGGACAGTGATAAGCTGTTTCCAGGTATGTGGCCCAGAGGAGGGGAGGAATAGGCAGGTCCTGTCCAGCTGGCTCTTGCAAGGCCTCTAGGGGAGGGCAGTTTAGAACTCTTTAGCAGGCCCCCTCCAGGGAAAAGAACATTCCTAGGGACAAGACGGCCATATGCAGACACCTGGGACCTGGAAGTGACTCTTTGAAGACCTGGGGCAGGAGATAAGGTTTAGGAGGGCAGTTCTTGGGGCCTTACCTCAAGGAATTTGGACTTGATCCAGTAGACCAAGGTGGACACTTGGAGTCAGGGAAGGGAGCTGGGTGTGGCCAGAGACGCTCTCTCCAGCCCAGCCTTTCTTGAGAGAATCCTTTAAGAAGCTGGGAGATGCACAGGAAATCAATGTGAGTCAACTCCCTGTATAGCTATCCTTATCTCAACCAGCAAAAACCCTTGTTCCTTCCTATTATTGCTTATACTCGCTCTACAACAAAATTAGAGATAAGGGCAAAATAGTTTCTGCTGGGTATTGAGGGGGTTGGGGGGAGAGGGAGGGGGTGGAGTGGGTGGTAAGGGAGGGGGTGGGAGCAGGGGGGAGAAATGAACCAAGCCTTGTATGCACGTATGAATAATAAAAGAAAAATGGAAAAAAAAAAAGAAAAAAAGAAAAAAAAATAAGAAGCTGGGAGAACTGTGTAAATCCAGAATCCTGTCTGCCTCATTCCTTCCCTAACCTAGTATGGAGGGAGTGAGCAAGAGGTCCCAGGGTGGTTGAGATACCGGGCTCTCACACCATGGATTAGGGCAGACACTGACGGAGAGCTTTGCGTACAGTGCATTTGTCTCACCAGTGCAGCCATCCCAGGAGGGAGCGCCATTTGCTCTGTTTCATAGACAGGCTAGGATAGGCTAACGCACTTGCCCAAGGCCACTCAACCTTATCTGTAAGATGGAGACAGTGTGGCCTACCCTGCTGGGGCATTGTGAGAATGACAGTTGTATGGACCTGTGATGAACTGCAGTGACATGTTCAAAATGACAAAAGGACCGGATGTAAACCACCTTTGGCACTGCAGAGTTACAGTTCTTACCTCCACTGTGTGAATGGGGTGGCTTTGTGGGTGCTGGTGATGGGTCATCAGATAACTGCGAGCTGGCAAAGAGTGTGGTAGTCAGGGCTAGGGTGACTGTCACTGATGGAGATGGCTTCAACCAGGCCCCACTTTTTCTCCCCTCTCCAAGTTGTCACATAGCCAGAGACCACTCTATTCTCTGTCCAGAGAGCCTAGGCACTGGGAGGGGCTTTCTCTGCCTGCCCCCACAATAAACCATACTCTGGCTAGGGAGCTGGCTGAGCTCCTTCCTGGTAGGCATCCTGCATGCGTTGTGAGCTCCTGGAAGAATATGAGGTCCAGCATCCTAGCCTCTGTCCCAGCCACCTGGGGAGCCCCGGGGATCACCTCCTCCTCATTCTCATCTGAACAATGTGTGTGTGTGGGTGGGGGGAGGCGCCCTCCTTCCAATGAAATCATGAACTGAATGGGCCTGGCCTCCAAGTAATTTACATTAACAACAATGAAAAGGAACCAACTTAAATGCTCATGAGTTATAACAAAAGATGGCACACACTCTGCATGTGGACTCATTTAACCAGCAGCACAGCAGCTGTATGAGGGAGGCCCTGTCACCACCCCCATTGTACAGATGAGAAGCGGAGCTACTGAGAGGCTGAGTCTGGCCCAGAGTCAAAGTGCTCATGAACGGCAGAGCTGGGAGATGACTGCAGATCCCATTTCCTCCCCGAGTGCATTTGTGGTTGGTTCATGCTTGGTTTGGTCTGTGTACCCGGAAGCTGATTGCATCCCTGAGGGTGAGGACTATGTATTTATCCTTATCCTGTACTGAAGCTGGGTCAGGGCCAGGTGATCAGGCCAGGGCAAGCTTAGGTCAGGATGATCATGATGAAGGCTTCCTTTCTTTCTCCTGCAGAGCAAACCCTTACCTGCCTCAGTACACCAGCACTTTCTCTCCCACAGAGTCATCCTGGGCTGGGGCCCTCCTCTGCAGCCATGGTCTGGAGGAAACTGGGTGCTGGCAACTTCTCCAACTGCCCCAACGGCTCCATCCAGTGGATCTGGAATGTGTTTGGTGAATGTGCCCAGGATGGCTGGGATGAGGCCAGTGTGGGCCTGGGCTTGGTCTCCATTGTCTGCTTTGCTGCATCCACCTTCCCGTGAGTATGCCTGGTGGTGGGAACAGGCAGGGCTGCAGGGGGCGGGCAGTGACTCCATGTACTGCATGGAGGGGCTACCTGGCTGGCCGTGGACTTGTCTAGACTCCAGGCCAGGTGCACATCCTCCCTTCTCCCAGCCACATTCGCTGACTTCCAGCCTGCTCGGGAGGGGCTGCATAGGCCTATCTAGTGCTGGGTGATCTGATACTGAATAACGGCATTTGCTATCATTTATTGAGTGTCCACTGTGTACCTGGCTCAGGACTGAGGTGCCACGCATGTTTTGGCATCATTTGATACTCACGTTAGCCCAGTTCCTTTCCCTGTTTCACAAATGGAGGTGCTGAAGCCTGGGAGGTTTAATAACTTGCTCTAGGTTGTACAGTGATGCGTCAGACATGGCTTCTGCCCTCAAAGCCAGGACGGTCCTGTGGCAGAGAGAACAGCAGTAGATACAAAATAGCATGGCCACTGCAGGGATGGGGGAGCAGGGACACAGCACTCACCACTGTCACCTACTGGTTGTGGCCTGCTCTGTGTGTTGGTTTCCTGATCTGTAAATACTGTTCCTTGCTCAGGGTTGTGCAAGAATGGCATAAGGGAGCATGCGTAAAGTACCCGACTCAGGCCTTTACACCATGTGTGTGTGCTGGCTGAAAGCTGTCCCTGCTGACTTTGTTTCCTTACATGAAGCACCGCGAGGGCCGCCTCCAGGCTGCAGAGGCAGGAGGGGCTGCAGTCAGAAAGGACCTGGAGGTGTTGGCCTAGAGCCCAGAGAAGTAGGACATGTAAAGGTCACAGTGTGGACAGCTGTGCACATTAGGGATCAACAGGTGCATGAGAGAAGGGTGTAGCTGCCATGGCTTAGCCAGGCAGTGTGGGAGGATCAGGGCAGGAGGCCATCAAGATCAAGTGCCCTGTCACCTAAGGATGTTCTGTATTGTTAAGAAATGTGTTCTTAGCCAGGATTTGGTGGCTCATGCCTGTAATCCTAGATACTCAGGAGGCAGAGATCAGGCAGATCAAGGTTCAAGCCAGCCCCTGACAAATATTTTGTGAGACCCTATCTCAAAAAAACCCATAACAAAAAAGGGTTGGCCAAGTGGCTCAAGTGGTAAGAGCACCTGCCTGGCAAGCATGAGGCCCTGAGTGCAAACCCCAACAACACCACAACGAAAAAGAGAAGTGTGTTCTCTTGGGCTGGAGGTATGGCTCTGGGTAGTACAATGCTTAGCATGCATGAAGCTCTAAATTCAGTCCCCAGCACTGCAAAAAAAAGAAAAAAGAAAAAGAAAAGAAACACAAAAGAACTGTATGCTCTTTATCCTGTAGGATAAAGACAAGGGTTTAGTCAGCAGTTTGACATTGCTTTAACAGGTTTTCTGAGAGAGAATTCATGTTCAGTACAGTGAACCCATTTGAATGTACAAGTCAGTGGTTTTAGTACATCCCAAGTTGTGTAATGAGGGCAAAATGGATTGGAGGAGTGGCTCGAGTGGAGCTTGCTAGAGAAAGCGCAAAGCCCTGAGTTCCAATCCCAGTACTGCCATAAAAGAAAAGAAATACAAAGTTGTGTTAACTGTCACTACAGTCAATTTCAAAACGCTGTCATCACCCTCAGAAGAAACCCGTGCCCATCAGCAGTCATTCCTCATTTCCCCCAACTTCTCAGTCCTGGCAGCCACCAGTCTGCTTCCCGCGTGTTTCATGATTCATATAAATGCAATCTGTATTACGTAGCTTTTGTGACTTCTCTCACATCGTATAATGTTTTCAAGATTCATCCATGTTGCCAGGTGTGGTGGAGTACGCCTGTTGTCCTAACTGCTCAGGAGACTGAGGCAGGAGAACTGCTTGAGCCCGGGAGTGCGAGGCCAGCATGGGCAGGCAGCATAGTGAGACTTTGTCTCAAAAAAAAAAAAATCAGACCAGGCATTGGTGGCTTATCCCTATAATCCTAGCTTGTCAGGAGGAAGAGATCAGGAGGATCTCTGTTCAAGGCCAGCCCCAGCAAAAAGAAAAGTAAGACCCTGTCTCAAAAATATCCAACACAACAAAGGGCTGGTAGAGTGGCTCAAGTGGTAAAGCACCTGCTTAGCAAGTGTGAGGCTCTGAGTTCAAACAGCAGTACTGCCAAAAAAAGAATTCATCCGTGTTGTAGCATGTATCAAGTACTTCAGTCCTTTTCATGGCCAAGTAATATTCCACTATACCACATTTTGTTTATCCATTCGTCCATTGGTGGGTTGTTTTTCCTTTATTATGATTCATGTTCTGTGTGCCTTCATATACAAGTGGTTGTGAAGACATGTTTTTACTTCTCTTGACTATATACCTAGCAGAAAAATTTCTAAGGCAAATGTGGTAACTCTATGTTTAATCTTTATTTATTTATTTTTTTGGAGACAGGGTTTTGCTGTTTCCCCAGCTGACTTTGAACTTGCAATCTTCCTGCCTCAACTTCTCAAGTGCTGGAATTACAGGAATGCTATGTTTAATCTTTTGAGGAATTGCCAGGTTGTTTTTCATATTGGTTGCATCATTTTACACTTTCCCCCAACAGTGTAGCAGGTTACAGTTTCTCTCAATTTTTTTTTTTTTTTTTTTTTTGGTGGTACCAGGGTTTGAATGTGGCTGTGTTGGGTGTGGGATGGGTCTGCCTTTGCAGAGCACCCATTCCTGCCTGGGCCTGGCTGGTGACCAGCGAGAGGGTCAGAGGCCAAGAGGGAGCTCCAAATGAGGGCAGGAAGGACTGCTGCCTCCCTGCTCCTTCCCAGGACTGTCCTGTGTGGGACAGTCACTCCTGCAGCATATGGAGACAAGTCAAGCTAGATCTTAGGAGGAAGTTGACCAAGGGCCTGCTCTATGAAGACCTCTGCTGATCACTGCCCTTGCCCTGGGACAGTGGGATGGGACTGTCAGGTGTTACAAAGAGGAGGAAGATACCTGCAGGGTTCAGGTGGAGGAAGGCCGAGGGGAGCAACTATATCCTGGGAGGCGGAAGATGAAGAGGAGGTGTCTGGGCTTAGGTGGGGATTGCAGGGGAGGGGGAGGAGAGGAGGGTCTAGGGATGGGCTTGGAGGAAGGGAAAGCAGCCCTGCGCTGGGCTAGAGGAGGAACCGGGCTTGTAGGGAGAGCAGGTATAGGAGGATGTAGGACCTTATTGAAGAGCTGGAAGGCTCTGACCATTTTTGGGAAGATCAGAGTCTTGGGAAAGAGAGGGAGGATGACTGACTAGAACACGGTTAGCTGACAGCCCGGGGAGGTGGAGGCAGAAGGACAGTTGTAGGAGGTCTCTGCTGACGCAGCCTTCCTCATTTCAGGCTTGGGTAGCGGGTCAGATGAGGTGTCAGCCCTCTCTCCCTCCCTTCTTCCCTCCCTCTTCCTTCCTCCTCTCTCCTTACTCTCTTTTCCTTATTTTTTTGGTGCTAGGGATTCAATCCAGGCCTCACACATCCTAAGTCCATTCTGTACCATTGAGAACCTCCTCTTTCTCCTTCCCTCCCCCTCCACTCAATATGGCCCCTCCCCTCCCTTCTCTGTCCCACTTCTAATAAGGTCTTGCTGTGTAGCTCAGGCCGACCTTGAACTCATGGTCCTCCTGCCTCAGCCTTCCCAGTGCTGGTTTATAGGCTACCATACCCTGGCTTTTATTATTTATCTAGTCTGTCTGTCTTTCTGTCTACCAATCTATCATCTATCTGTCTGTCTGCATGTGTGTATGCAGATGGTTAAAAAGCAATTTGAGGGACTGGAGATGTAGCTCAGTGGTAGAGCAGTTGCCTGACATGCGTGAAGCCCTGGGTTTCATCCCTAGCACTGCAAAAAAAAAATATTTTTGAAATTTGAACAGTAAATGTGTAATGGTTAAGAGCAAGGCTCAGGCCAGGGCGAATTTGAGCTGCATGACACAACTAACTTCCTCAGACCCAGGGAGGAGGATCAGGATGGAAACGGGGTTTGTGAAGATTCAAGGAGTTAAAAAAAAAAAAAAGATACAAGGAGTTAAAACCTGCAAAGGGCTCAGAACTGCCTGAACCCCAAGGTCCCCAGCAGCAGTGGGGTTTTGGCCTCATACCCCCACATGGACACAGGTCCAAAGAGAGGGTGAGTCCTGGCACCAAGAACTTTTGGGAAATGGCTAGGGGACCAAAAGCCTTTGACTTTTTTTTTTTTTTTTTTTTTTTGAGACAGGGTCTTGCTATATAGCCCAGGCTGGCTTCAAACTTGTGGTCCTCTTGCCTCAGCCTCCCCAGTGCTTCATGCACCATCACTTCTAACTTCATGACTTTTTAAACAGAGTTATAGGAACCCAACTGCCCTCTTCTGTTGCGTTTTGAAGCTGATCAGACTGTGGTTCAGCCTGTATTATCATCAGTGGCTCCTGGAACTAGGACAGGGACCTGCCTCCAGCCTACTGCCACTACCACCACCCTGCTCTCAACACCCCCATCCCAATTCTTAAAAAAAGAAGTCAGGAAACCCTTGAAATGGTTCTCCGTGCCTGGCACAAACTTTAGGATCCTCTGTACACCCCAAGTCCCCTCTGGAGTCCCCAGGGTGTGGGGGGCATCTGAGAGATGTACAGCCCTGGTGCTCACGGGCTAGAAGGGATTCCCCCTGGTAAAACCCTCAGGGACCTGCCTGCGGCTTCATGCTATCTCCTGTCCATCACTGCCACTATCCTGTAGTCGTGACACCTGGGGAAGGTTCCCCTGTCTGTCTGAGGTGGCTTCACAGTCCTCAGGCTCTGAGTGTGCATCCCACTCTTCCACAGCCAGTACATAAAGGCCTGCAAGACAGGCAACATGGACCAGGCCCTGTCCCTGTGGTTCCTCCTGGGCTGGATCAGTGGAGACTCCTGCAACCTCATCGGCTCCTTCCTTGCAGACCAGCTGCCCCTGCAGGTAGGCGGGTCCCTGGGTGGGGGCAGAGGCAGGGTAGCCAGGGACAGCGGCAGTGGAGGCCTTGGGAGCAGCCAGCCAGAACAGATGCCCAGTCTCCAGAATCCTGACGCATCATCTACCTGCCAGGGCCTTCTGCTTAGAGAGCCTTTTGTCCGCCCTCTGCCTGACTTTTGTCACTGCCCCAGTCTGAGCCTTAGTTTCCCTGTCTGTAGTATGAACACATCAGACCACTGGGGCCTTGGCTTCTGAGGGGCTGTGAGCCTGACCAGGAGGAGGAAATGAGTTCGAGAGCCCCAGATGTCATCCTTCTCCCAGGGCCAGGCAGAGTTGGGAATCAAGTTAGGAAGGCCATGTCTTCCCAAAGTGGGACCAGAAAGTCTTGATTGCTCAGTGTTAAGCCAGAGCCATCACTTAGCCTCGAAGCCTGTTTCATCCTGACTGGGAGCACTAGCCATGGGTCCCTTGGCACTCTTTGTGTACCAAATCTCTCAGTCTGCTAGGTAGGAACTGGAATCACTCCATTCCAGGTGAGGACACAGGCTCAGAGAGGCGAAGGTACTGGGGCAGGTCACCCAGAGGGGACTGAAATTGGGCGGGGTGGTCCCAATGGAGCCTGGGCCTGCCACCAGTGCCTGGGCCTGCCTTTTTCTTCTTGCAGACCTACACGGCTGTGTATTACATCCTGGCAGACCTGATGATGCTGACATTGTACTTCTATTACAAGTTCAAGAAACGTCCCTCTCTGGGTGAGTATGCTGATCTCTCTGGGCCAGGCTTTCCGCTGGCAGTGGGGAGGGCTTGGAACTTGGGAGGAAGCAGGTTTCCCATTTGGGTGATAAATCAAACCTCAGAAAGGCCTTATCTAAAAGCCTGTGATTTAATGGGCCAAGATAGAGACTTGAGGGCAGTGAGCACATCCAGGCTCAGACCACAGGAGGCTCCACTCTCTGTTCTCCTTCATCAAACATGGCTCAGCTTGTCCTCTGTGTCTGGTCCTGGGCTTGGAGTGGGGGAAACAAGGTCACAGAGGCTGCCTCTGCCCTCCAGGACTTGGAGGGGCAGCTCACAGGCTAACAAGACATGCTGGTGTTTTTGCCTTTGAAACCCTCTTCCTGACCCCACTGCCCTCATTGTTTCACCTTTGCAATCCAAGGAGAAGGGTACTGTTGTTGTACCCACTCTACAGCTGAGGAATTAAAGCTCAGAGAGGTTATGTCATTTGTCCAAGGTCACACAGCTACTGAGGAGCAAGGCTGGGACTCCAATCCCACTCTGTCTGCTATTACCCAAATACCCAACTTTCCTTTCTCTCCTGCCTCAATCTAGTGTCTGCCCCCATCAATTCTGTGCTCCTGTTCATCATGGGGACAGTGTGTATCACGCCACTGCTCAGCAGCACTGGCCTAGAGGCTGCCCCAAGAGAACTCTTCCGGGGACGGACGCTTCTGTCTGTGGAGCCGGGCAGCAAGGTGAGGTGTGGGTTCATGGTGGTAGCACAGGGTGGGCTGACCCATCCCCAAGGCTCTCCCCTGCACAGTCGTGGAGGTGTTAAGATCTCCTGGGGGAGATCACTCCAGGGGGACCTTTGCACTTCAGCCCTCATTGGGCACTGAGCCCCTCCTCCCGCTCTGCCAGCCCTTCACAAAGCAGGAGGTCATCGGTTTCGTCATTGGCTCCGTCTCCAGCATGCTGTACCTATTCTCCCGGCTGCCACAGATTCGCACCAATGTGAGCATTGACTGGGGATGGGTGGCCAGGGTCCTCTGGGTTGAGGAGTGGCGTGGTGTGGGAGACTTTGTTCAGGAGGTCTGGGACCACCCTCGCTGAGCCTCAATTCCACCTCTGTGGTGCTTGCCACCGAGCAGTGTATGAGACCTGCATGAGTCTTAGGGAATTTGGAGGTCAGGTAAGAGGGCAGGAGCAGCTGAGCTTGGGGGCTGAAGCGGAGAAGGTGGGGAATGAGAAGGGATGAGGCTTGCTAGGCACTGGGAGTCTGTATAGGGCTGGAGAGCTGGGCATATGGGGACCCGCTGGCATATGCAGTGTGCTATCTGGGGTCCAGGGTGAGGTCTGGGAGAAGAGGTCGGGCTGGGGATGAGGAGCCAGGCCCTGGATGGGGCGGGTCTGGTCAGGCCTGTGCTGGCCCTTGGCCTAGCAAAAAACTAGCTCAGAGTACATACAATATGGGGTGGTTGGACACATGAACAGTTAAAATCCAGAGTGACAAGAGTCCTCTTTTCTTTTTTTCTGAGACACGGTCTTACTATGTAGCCCAGATGGGCCACAAACTCACTGTGGTCCAGGCTGAACTCACAGTTCACCCTGACTCAGCTTTCTGAGTGCTGGGTTTACAGACAAGAGCCCTCTTTGAGGTCTCTGACCCTACCCTCTTCATCCCCAGTTCCTACGGAAGTCGACCGAGGGGATATCCTACTCTCTGTTTGCCTTGGTGATGCTGGGGAACACGTTGTATGGGCTGAGTGTGCTCCTCAAAAACCCTGAGGTTGGCCAGAGCAAAGGCAGCTACCTGCTGCACCACCTGCCCTGGCTCGTGGGTAGCCTGGGCATGCTGCTGCTCGACACCATCATATCCTTTAAGCTGATGGGGCAGGGTGGGCAGGGCAGCCTTGCCTACCAACAGCCTCAGCATTCATCTACCCATCCCCCACCCATCCATCCATCCATCCATTCGTAGTCTACTCATCCATTCTTCCATCCATCATCTATTCATCTACCTATCCATCCATCTAATTGTCCATTCACCCATCTACCTATCCATCCATCCATCCTTCCATCCATCCACCCATTCATCCATCTTCCCACTCATCCATTCAACCTCCCATCCACCTACCACCCATCTAACCTCCGATCCACCCATCTACCTATCCATCCACCGCCCATCTAGCCATCCATCCATCCATTCATCCATCTACTTATCCATCCATCCATCCTTCCATCCATCCACCCATTCATCCATCTTCCCACTCATCCATCCAACCTCCCATCCATCCTCCAAGAGTATGACCCTTGCCTGGGGAAGCTGACATTCCAGTGTGTGGTCAGACAGGAATTAGTAGACAGTTTCCTCATTGTGGTGATACCAAGTGCTGCAGAGAAAGACAACAAGAGTATATACCACCACACTACCTCCACACCTATCATTCAAACTGTGACCTGAGGGAGAAGAAATTAGACAAAGACAGGGAGGAGAGTTTCAGGCACAGGTTGCACAAAGGCCCTGTGAAATAGAAAAGAGTTAGCCTATCCAGGCCTTGGGGATGAAAGCTGGATCACACATGTGAGTGAGTTAAGAATTCAAATCCTACCTCCTCCACTGCTTCCTAGCTGTGTGACACAGGGCAAACCATCAACATCTTTGTGCTTCTGCATTTTCATCCGAGTTAACAGTTACCATGATGTCAGCATAGTGTTGGAAACCCTCCGTGTGTGACCTAGCCCTCAGTGACTGTTTACTAAGTAGCCAAACAGGACACTATTTGGATGTCATTTGGCAGAATGTAAAAGTGGCCTTTGTTTCAACATTTGCTGAGTCTCTGTGGGATGCAGTGAGAAAGGTTTAAAGTCTAGTGGCCCTTGGTGACACCCCAGGATGCTGTGGGGAGGAAGGCAGGGTGAAGAGAGGCTATCTGAAGAAGAGAGCTCAGCACAGACTTGGAGAGGTACTTAGGGAGGAGGAATAACAAGAATCAAGGCCCAGGGGAGGTCTTGGCTGGCCCCACCCACCATTAGGGACTGGGGGATGATGGGGGGTGCTGCTCCCATGGAGGCACTGCCCTAGGGGCAGGTCCAACCCAGTCTGCTCGGTGTGGTCTTAACGTGGCCCCTCAGATCTCCATCCAGTTCCTGGTGTACCGGAGCCACGCCACCTCCCCAGAGCATGAGCCCCTCCTCCCCAGCTGACCAACACCAGGCTGAGCCCTGGACAAAGAGAACCCCCAGATGCTACCCCCAGGAAGGAAGAGGTGTGATGTCGCTGCCACCCCTGGACTGGGCCTCGGAGGCAGTCTGCCTTTCCGCCATGCCTTGAATCCTCCAGACTGACCGACTCACTCTTCCAGAACCAAGACCAATCCTCAGGGCTGGCCTGCCCCGCCCTGGGACACCCCTCTCCAGGGAGCCTGCAGCAGTGCTCCAGCTGAAAACCCAGGGCCTCAGAAGACAGTGCGGCAGCCCCCGCCCTCCTACCTCATTCTGCTTGCACTGCAGCCAGCAGACCCAGGACTCTCACTGACTGGACACAAGCTAGTAAATGGTCCCTGCCAGCCAGCCAGGTGTTCTGATCTCCTTCCCAAGGTGCTGGGATCTAGGCTGCTTTGGGGACGTATGGTGGGTGAGGACCCTCCCCCCTGCCTGGGGAGAGACTATGACCACCCATGGGGCCCCTGGTTTCTTAAACTGTATCTTTATGTTCTCTCTGGGACAGGCTCCACCCTGACAGAGGGGATATAACAGCAATGTTGATACCCCAGTAGGCTCCCTGCTCCTGGGCAAGCAGAAAGAACATAATAGTCGCGTGTAGATCTTGGTTTGGCATCTCAGTTTCCCAGTGCCTGTGAACTAACACGAGATGGGCAGTGATGCTCCACCCTCCACGCGTCCATCCTTACGAGGATTAGACAGGCAGGGGCGGGGGCGTAAATAGAGTTCAGCCCCAGAATCTGGCATGAGTGATAGCTCAGTTCAATAAAGCTTAGCTTCAGTGATGTTCAGGTAAGTAAGAGGCACAGCCACCCTCTCTGGAGGTCATGGTGACTTCCTGGAGGAGGTGACAGGCTAGATGCTTGAGTGAGATAAGGGAGGGAGGTTGGTAAAAAGAGGAGGGGTAGTCCCTGAGCTCAGCCTCCTGAGCCCCAGATCTTGTTGGTCACTGGGACCTTGTCAGTGTCTGGGGGCAGAAAGAACAGCTGCCCTCCTTGCTGGTCTGGTCTTAACCCTTCAGAAACCAGATATGGGGAACTGGAGCCCACCTTGGGGGCTGGGGGCAGCTGTACCCCTGAGTGACCTTCTTTTAGAATCCCCACTCCCTAGCTCAGAGGAAGGAGCGCCTCTGGCTGTGCTGCCCTGGCCCGCACCAGGCATGGCACCATGTGAGCCAACTCTGGTCCCTCAGTGAGAAGAGATGGTCACCTGCCCTGGTGGGAAGAGCTGTGGCCAGAAGACAGAAGGTACCATAGGAATGGGACTGGACGTTCCCCTGAGGATCAGCCTAGACGGCTTCACAGAGGAGGGGCCCATGAGCTGGGTCTGGAAGGCAGAGTGTGATTATGAAAGGAGAGGGCCTGTGCAAAGGCCCAGGTGAGTCTGTGCTGCCCCCAGGTGGGGCTTGTTAAGAAGGGCCTTCCTGAGAGAAGGCCGGGCTGATGCTGAGGACAAGGACAGGTCCTGGGGGCAGGGCTCTCTGCAGTCCAGGGCAGGTGAGTTTGGTTGGGGAGGAGTCTCTGGCTGCAGGGGGGAAGGGAGATGGGAGTTCAGGTGGGCAGTGAGGCAGGCAGGTCTCGTCTTCCAGGTCCATACTGCAGTGCCTGTAGAGCCCGTGTGCAGCTGGGGTTTGTTGAGCCCTTGCTGTGTGCGGGGCCTGGCCATGGGCCCTCAGTGTGATCCTTACAACCTTCACCGTCCCCACAGCTTCCTCTGATAGATGGAATGAACCATAAACAGGGAAACAGGCTTAGAGAAATTCGGTGACTTGCCTAAGGTTGCCCATCTAGGACAACAGCTGTTAGACACACAGTAGCTTCTCCAGCTATGGTGCCATCCATTCCGGGCCAGCATCCTGCCTGGCTGGGTATCCAGGGCAGGTAGTGGGGTGCAGTCAGCCTTACTCTCTGGGGCCGCGTGCCCTCTGCTGGGCTCGTTCCCACTTTGCAGCTGGATGTCTGGCTCCATCCCCGGATGGGACCTGGCTTCATGCCAGTTACTTAGGCCCAGGTGCCACCTTTCCCAGCCTGAAGACCAGGAAGCTCAGTGACAGTGTGGGCCCCAAGAGTAGGCCCAAATTGGAGCTGTACAGGGAGAAGAAAATGAAGTAACAGCCAGCTGGAGAGGCCCTCATTCCGTGAAGGTGCCACAACCCCTCTTCTGTCACCTTTTGGGAGGCCCAGGCTAATGGAAATGTGGCCCTGGCCCTGGGGAGCGCCTGCCTAATGGAGACACAGCCCCTACCCTCAGGAAGCAGCCCCCCTAAACCTTGATTCCTCAACCTTGTGGGCTCAGTCCTCTACCACAGGCAGGAGTCAAGCTGGTGGGGCTGGCAGACCCTGCTAGTCTGTCCCTAGAGCCCTGTGAGTGGCACACAGACTTGGAGGTCCTCCACACTGTGCTCTAAGCATGGCCCCAACCTCTGGGCAGCCCATGCCTCAGGGAGACAGCCTAAGCCTCAGTTTTCTTATCCCATGGGGCCAAGAGTAATACTACTGGCCCCAGAACACAGGTGTGTTGATCAAATGAGATGTACTTGTAGGCTTATGTCTGGCATGGGGCCACCTTAGGTTGTCCATCTGACTGGGAGTTACCAGTACCACAACCACCACAGGTTTCTCCCAAGGAGAGATTGACAGGATCTCGCCACACTGATGGGGCCAGGTGGATCCAAGTTAGAAGCCTCCCTAGGTGGCTTTCCTGTCTCTCTCTGGCCCATGCTTCTTGCTCCTTGCTGTAGGTCATGGGGTGGTGAATGCTCATATTGGTGTAGCCTGGGCTGAGGGGACAGGAGGCCACTCAGGCCTGAAGTGCAGGCATCTGGTTTCAGCCTCAGGCTCAGCTACAGAAAGGGAACTGCACCTACCAGTGGCCCTTGTCCAGGAGGGTGTCCGTCAGGGTGCTTGTGGGGGGCCGGAGGCTGGGCCATGTTCCTCTAAAGGTCCCTACTATGGTGGGCTTTATATATAATTATCTATGTGTGTAATTACATATGCTACATCACAAACACATACATTTGACATATGGAGCCCAAATGGCCTCTAACTTGTGATCCTACTCCCTCAGCCTCCCAAGTGCTGTGGTGTACCACACCTGGCTGCAGGTTATATTTTAACTGGAACAAAAAGCCCCGTATAAAAGGTTATCGCTCAGTGCCTGGCCTGATGCACCCAAGATGCGGGGCTTTGCCTCCCCGAAGTCCCAGGGGTGGGGTGGATGGCAGGCCGGAAGTGTCAACCACAAGGCAGAAGGGACAGACCCAGCAGCCCAGTCCTCAGCACTTGACCCTAGGCCTTCCCAGGCCAGTTTCCCATTGGTCATCAAACCTGGGATTGTTTAAAGGCAAGTGAGGACATAGTGGCTGTCAGTTCTCCCCTTCGCCAGAAGGGGGAGAAAGCCACAAGTCCTCTCTCTCCCTCTCTCTCCAACTCTTCTCCCATCTGACTCAGCTTTGACTTGGCCTTCACTGGAGCTGGCAGTGGGACCAGAGGTCTCTGGGAAAACAGCCCAGTGGCAAGACTGCCTTTCACCCCAGATTCACACAGTTCATCTGCTGAGTACTGATCCAGCCCTGTCTCAGCAGGCCCTGAGGACACTCTTCCAGTGCTCCTTCCTCACCCCGAAAGACCCCCTGTCCTGCTTGCCCTTACATCCCCAGAACTTAGTAGGTGCTTAGTAAACGGTGGTGAGCCAGTGAATGCTAGAGACACTGTCAAGGGGCTGTCAATCCACTCCGGTGGAGGCAGGCGTGTTGCCCCCGCCCCAGTCATGGGCCTGCTTCTCCACGTGGGTGAACTGCATGGTATGTGAGGCGTATCTCAACAGAGATAAATGTCAAATTAGCTCTTAAGTATTAAAACGTGGAAAGTTAGGGGTTAATGGATGTAATGACATCTTGCAGTCTTTCTGAGTGCATTGCCCTGGACGGTGTGACCGACTCTGTAGGAGAAGCTGTGCAGTCTGTTAGCTCCCAGAGAGTGGAGGGCCATGTAGTTACCAGCTTTCCTCTTTGGCTACTTGCTCCCTGCTGCCCTTCATCCAAAAAGCCCTGTACCGGGACCCTTTGTCCCCCATCTTACTTGCTCGACTTGGTCTCAAAAGCTGGCAGTGCTGGCCCTTGTGGAAGAGTCCAGAAGGCAAAGTGAGACGCTGAACTCCACAAATGTGTTGCACTAGACCACACACAGAAGAACTAAGGAGATGGGAAGTTCATATCAACAATGAGGCAGGGGATGAGAGCCAGGGAAGGCATTGGCAGGCACTGGGACCTGTGTGTGGGGAGCAGCACAGAGGGTAAGAAAGCCAGGCTCCACAGTGACTGGCTTCCTCCTATCTGCAGTGTGACCTGCATGTAGACAGAGGCCCCTGCACAGCTCCTGAAAAAATAAAAGCAAGGGCAGGGAGGGGCAAGGACCTTCACCTTGCCACACACTATGTGACTGAATGGCCAGTTCTTCGGGGCAGTGGACTGGGATCTGGGTGCCTGCAGTGCCTCCTCCTCCCTCCCTACTTCTGTCACCACTATGAGCCCATCCTGTCTCCACCTGGTAATCAGCCACCATGGCCAAGGCAATACCAGCTTGGAGGGTGAAGTGAAGCAGGTGAGAAAGAACACAAGGCCAGAGCTAACTGCGTCCCAGTTTCTTTTTATTTATTTTTTTGTTCTTTTTTTCCTTTTTTTTTTTTAAGTATGGAGGCTCAAGTATAAGATGTAGATTTTTTGTTTAAGCTTTACAAAAAAAAAACCAAAATAAAACAAAAAACTCCTTTTGCATTCCATAAAAATTGACAGAAAAGCACCTGGCCAAAAGAGCAGACGGTTGCTGGCCTCCACCCTCCACCGCGGACTCCACGGCGCAGGGGCACATCTGCGCAGGACAGTGCTGAGGGCCACCTCTCCTTCCTCCAGAGCTGTCCGCTGTCCCCCCGACCCCAAGCAACTCCCAAACACACATGGAATCAGATTTCCAGTTTTTCTTCTATCTTTCACACACCACAGTTATTTCATAAAATTTTTGTTTTACATTTTTTACACCAATGTAACAAAAAGGTGGGAGGGAGGGGGTGGCTGACAGACAGTGTATTTATGCCTATAAATGGGAAAGGGAGGAAGACGGGGCCCAGGCGAACAAAAAACACATGGTCTCTATGGAAGTACTGAGTCTCAATAGCAAAACGTGGTGGGAAGCGGGCCTCAGAGCCAAGGAGATGGTTACTGGGCTTTATTGGTGGGAGAGATGGCGCTGTGTGCGCGGTGACGTAAATCGTTATGTGACCTGCGGGAGGGAAGGGGCAAGGGAGAGGGAGCAGAACATGAGTTTTCTAAGAAAGGAATCTAACGAGTGCATGGCATCCGGTTAGCATGAAGCAGAGGTTTAACATTGCTGCTTTCTCTTCAAAGCCTCCACCAGGTCATTTTTAAGAGCTTCTTGTTTTGATTTGTCTGCAAAAGTCTGCACAGACCTGCAAGGGAGGAAAGACTAACATTAGAAGACCGAAGAGGAAGGCACAGCAGCCAAGGCCAGGGCTGGGGTTGGGGCCCTCAGGCACCACGCTGGACATCACTTTATAGACGGTGGGGAAGAGGTACAGGGCCCAAGACCTGCACCTCAGCACCTTGGAGGGCTCCATGGGGAGGCACAGCTATGCCGACAGAAGGGCACCTCTGCCCAGTGTAGCAATCACTAGGCTCACTGCTCTGGGCACAGAGTAGGTGGCTTTTGGGCTTTTAAGCACCAAGATTCTGTTTCAGGCCAGCTGCTCCAGGTTTCTGGCTGGGGACTTGGGCAAGAAACTGAGAGGTGAGGACTCTGGGCTTGAGGAGACTATAAAGCTTCCCCTTGCCCTCCCCTGTCCCAAAGAGAGGCTGGCTCCTCACCCTGCAAGAGTGGGGAAGGGGCAGCAACACCCACCCAGCAGGTGCATAAGAACCAGCCTCGACATGTCTAAGCACACTGGGGCAATGGCCACACATGCAGGGCAGCTGCTGTTAGGCTTCTGCTGTGCAGCACTACTGGCTGTGAACTTGGCCCAGAAAATCCCTCAGCCTAGAATGCAAAAGGCAGCACAGCAAAGAGGTGAGAGCTGTCAGGTCCTCGATTTGTGGGAACCCTCTTCCTCAGACCTAGAACGAAGGTCTGCAATCATTCACAATTTACAAGGTGCATATCTCATTTAATTCTCACGAGCACCTGGGAGACTCTCTGTTATTATTAAAGCTATTTACAGATGAGGAAACTTAGGGTCAGGAAAATGCCCCCTGACAATTCCCCAAATAATCATTCTGTCAAATTTACCCAACCATCAGTTAATCAAGAATTTACTAAACTGTTTACAATAACTTTGTAAAGGTTTAGAAGCAGTGGGAAGAGAGGAGAGGACGCATGCTCATTGAGAACTCAAGTTTCATACACCGTGAAAAAGAGGGGAGAGCATCAGAAAATAACCCCAGGTGCTGAAAAGGGGTGAGTAAATTAGGCAGGACCTCAGAGAGGCAACAGCATCTAAACTTGAACTCTGGCTACTGAATTCTAGAAAAATCTTGAGAAGAGTCCCCAAGACAGAGATGAGACTTTGAAACAATTTTGCTTGATGCTGCTGGAACTCAGTTCTATTTGTCTGGACAGTCCCAGCCAAAGGCAGGACGAGGATGTCACCCTGGGGCCCGCAGGTTCCAACCTCAGCTGTCTACCTCAGGCTTCCAAAGCTCTCAATGGGGCCAGTGGTACCAGAAGCTGAACAGCAGTGCAGGGTGCTTGCTTCCTGGCTGGGCAGTGCTGGCACTTCTGGGAAGGAGGAGCCAGCACTCCGGTCTGAGCTGTGTCTAACCAATCCCACCACCCAAAGATCGTTTCAGAGCCAGGATCAGGTTAGAGGCTGGGAGGTCAAACTTGGGCAGCTGGAGGAATAAGGAGTAGAGGTCTCACTTCAGAGGCAGAGTTTGGAAGAGTCACTGCTAGGTGACCTTGAGTCAGGGGTCTGCAGGTTGGACCAGTGTGGGGGGCCCCCAGCCTCAATGGAGTAGTTCCACCAGTTAAATGCTTGCCCCACCCAGCCCACTGCAAACCCAGCTGAGCCCTGGCTGGGTTGAGCTTCCAGGGTCCAGCCCCTGGACTGGGGACTCTGTAGCCCCCACTGGCTGGGTCCCAAGTGCCTTGTTTTAAAAGCAGTTTCCCTCCCCCTCCTCTCCAGGGATGCTGACTGCTTTCATACATCTGTACTTGCCACAAGCTCCAGTCATGGTTCTTGGCCACTGTCAACAAGCAAGTCTGTTTTCCTTTCCATCAGCATGGCCCACTGGAGGACAGCTGCAGCTCATTAAAGGCAAGGCTGGGGGATCCCCAAGCAAGGGCACCAGGCACCGAGCAGTTCCAGCAGCAGTCAGGCTAAAGGTGCATGAGCTGGATAGGGGATCATAGCCCCACAATGCACTCCATCCCTGGAGATTCAGAGGGAGACCACAGGTACCAGTGGGACAGAGCTTTTTGGCTTCTGGGCTCCCTGGTGGAGAAGGCAGGAGGATCTGGCAGAGACTGACCTCAGGCACATGGGTGGGCAGAGCACAGAGACTGCTCTGAGGGTCAGTGGGCTGAATGCACACAAGCAGCTGCTGCTGGAGAGGTGGTTGTTAGTCCCCTGGCCTAGCTGCTTCAGGAGCAAAAGCTCAAACCAGGCATCTTCCCCACACCTGGCCTCTGCCCAGAGTGCAAAGCGCACACTCCACACACGTGATGCGGTCTGTGTTAAGGGGGCTGAGGCTGCACCAGCCGTGGGCGGACACAGGGTTAGTGACGGTTTAAATGGCCGCGCAGCAGCCACTGGACCGGCGGCATCGGCAGGTTGGTGAGTCCTGTTTAGTGGGGAGGTCTCACGCCCTGCAGGCAGGGTACCTGGATCGACTCAGTTATCAGGCTGGATGTAGACCTGGCGCTGGGTCAGCACCTGCGAGAGCTCCCTCTGCAGCTGCTTAAACTTGTGGTTGTCAGGGATAGCGTCAAGAGATCTACAGAGAGTGTTCAGAGAGGGTGAAGCCAGGGGAGAGAGCACAGCAATGCAGAACACAAGGCTGACCACTGAGGGAAAGGCAGGACACATGAGACCGAGAAAGACAGCCACCAGGCTGTTGCCGCTCTTAGGCTGCATGTGCGTCACCACTGCATTACTCACACCTGCCACCCCACAGGCTTAACCACTACTCTGATTTCCCAGCCACCTCTGGGCATAGTAGAGGCTGGCCAGGTTGAACAGGTATGTGGTGTGGTTAGTGTGGCAACTTCAGGTGGCAGGTGGCTCTTGCCTGCCACAGGCCAGTGAGGGCTTATGAGGATCCCAACGTGACCCCTTCTCTTCTTAAAACTCCAGAGCAGGCAACTTAAATCTGTCCCTGGACAAATCCACAAGCCAGGGTGGCCCCAGGCTGTATCCTGCTGCCTCTCTGGCCCCATTTTGAGATCTGGGCCAGGGAATGGGGATCAGAGGGCTGGCCAGCAAGGGCACAGCAGAACCCTGGGGCTCACACAGCAGAGGTGGACTGCAAAATGCTTCACAGTTGTCACCAGCTTGCCTAACTCCATCAGCACCCTGCTCCCTGGACGGAATGAAGGCTGCTGAATGAATGAAGCTCAGGATGACAGAGCTGGGAGGAAATCCCAGCCACCTCACTTCAAGGCCAATGTTCCATCCTCAGCTGCCTCCCCTGTCCCCAACCAAGCTCTGTCTCCTACTTAGAACATCACAGAGACCTGCTGGCCTCTAGTTGGCTGCCACTTGAACCCAAGGCACAAGACAGTGGCAGGGGCAGCTCAGAGTTATGCCAACAGAGCCCTGGCAAAGGACACAGAGGAGTGGGGGCCTCTATGTGAATTACCAGTCTGCTGCCCTGCAGCCTGGATCAGTCAGAGGTCAGGCTGCCCAGCAGCCAGCATCCTCTCCAGGGTCATGGAGTGTGGTGTGGAGGTGTTCTCAGGCCCCAGCACAGAAGAGGTGGGAAGATTCTCTAGCCAGGTCTGACAAACTAGAGGAGGGTGACTCCAAGGAGGAGGCACCAAAGGCCGTTGAGATGAGCAAGTCCAAGAGAATAATACAGGTGGAGACAGGAACCCAAAGCTACTAAATGCAATTCCACGTGAGGGCACACTGGCCCCATCCTATGAGTGAGAAAGCCCAGGCCCAAGCCTATAGAGCTATTCACTAGCAGACCCAGGATCCTAACCCTTTTCTTTTAGGTACCAAAGCTCCCGATTTTTGGCACATTACCTCAGCCCGTTGACGATATCCTTTGTTTTCCCAAAGTAGATCTCATTCAGCGTACTTCTGATTTTATTTTCCATGTCCTGGGAAGGGAGGTCAGTCAGCAGGATGGCAAACAGGAATCCTCAGGCCCACACCCACGTGCCCCAGCCCAACCTGCAGTCTCCATCATGGCCACAGGGGGGAGATGCATGACTGCTCTCAGTGAGTGCTGCTAAAACTCCACCTATTATCTGTGCTCTGAGGCTTTCCAGGCCTTAGGCGTGGAGGAAGCCAATACCTAGGGACTGGTGGCCAACTCTGACCATTATTGGGAGCTGGTCTAAACCACATCATCACCCCTTACAACCTGGCCACCAATTCTGTGAACAGTTCTGTGAAACTGGAGAGCACATTCCCCCCTTCCAAACAACATGGTGACAGGCGAGACTGCGGTGGCCACGACTGAAGCTGCTCCAAAGCTGCTCCAAGGCCCACCAGTGTTCCAGGGATCTGTTTCCTTCCCAGCTTGGGTCTCTGTTCACAGCCAGTGAATTGGGGGAGACAGGACTTAGCTCTTCCTGGAGCCAAGGACTGAGCAGAGTCCTCTGGAAGCACGCATGGGGGAAGTGGGGAGGCGCCTGGAGCCAGAGTCCTGCTTGTATCCAAATCACAAGGCCAAGAAAACACAAGGCCGGGAAGAAAGAGCAGCACTGTGCTGGCTGTGACAGAGTCGGGACACAGTGGAGGCACAGGCCAGCATGGGCACACTGTGTCCCATGCTGCATAGGCTCAGAAGCAACCCTAGCCTAGGAGCCCAGAGGCCCACTCACCTCTACCAGACGCCCGATATTGGCTATGTGTGGGGAGCAGTCACTCACAGTTTCATCCTTCTCCATCTGCAAAAACCAAAAACATTCCCCCAAGTCAGAGAAAAAAACCAGCAGCTTCCAGAGGACACAGGCTGCCCATCACACGGCCACCGCTGTGCTTGGCAAAGGGTCTACTGTCCTGGTGAAGACTCTGTAGTCATCTGCAGGTATTACAAGGCCATTTTCTAGCACAAAATGACTGTCATTTCAGGTCATAAATAGCCTGGCTAGCAGAAGCAGATACCCCCACCATGACCCAGGGCTATAGCAGGGAGGGCAAAAATGGCCATGCTAGCCAGGCACTGGCTGCCAACCTCAGATTTGGGGCCTGGTGTCATAGGTGAAGGCTCCATGTGCCGTAATGCAGTCACACCTTGACTGTCTCCTGCTATGGCAGCCACAGAACACTGTAAATGAAGGCCTTGCCAGGAGGGACTGACATTTCCAGTGGATGGAAGACTGAGATGAGGGAGATGAACTGGTTGCCCATAGCAGTGCAGGCAGCGATGGAGGGACCTGGGGCAAAGCCTTCTTCACTTCACAGCATGTGTTCTCTCCACTGGGAAAGCCAGGGATGCGGCCAGGAGAGTCTTGGGAAGATTTCTGGGTTACGATGGCCAGGTGGCAGGAACCGGGAGCTGGCAGCCCATGTCCCTAGCATTCTCTTCCTAAGCCCAGGCAGTCAGCCAGCAATGCCCCACCAGTGAATACAGGGAGGAAGGTTAAGGAGGAATCCACCATTCCTGACAAAAGTGCCTGGTAATGAATTCTATTTTTTTTTTTCTTCCTATGATAAGCCTTACTTCTTTGACAAGATAATTTTTTGAAGTAGAACTATGCATTTTTTAACTGGAGGTATGGCTCAAGCACTCTAAGAGCACCACCTGCTTACAAGTGTGAAGCCCTGAGTTCAAATCTCAGCACCACCACCAAAAAAAAAAAAAAAGAGCATGCTATTATTGGAATAAAATATGAAAACTAGAGTAAGTAGTCTAGAAGTAGGAAGAGAGGCTGGGCATAGTAGCACACATCTGTAATACAGTACTTGGGAGGCTGAGGTAGGACAATCAACATTTCCAGGGCAGCCTGGGGTAGTGAGACTCTGTCTCAAAAAACAAAAACAAAACAAAAAGACAAAAAAAGAAGCAGGAAGAGAAGAGCAGTCTCAGGATGGCCAGAGGCTAGAGATCAGAAGAGGCTCAAGCTGGAAGACAGAAGCAAATCAAAGCGAAAACTGGGTTAGGACTTTTCTGGGATCGGGAGGGCAGGTGTGGGGCGGTGGTGTGTGTTCAGGGTCAAAGACTTTGTGCTTCCCATCTGCTTCTGCTTGCTTTCTTCTTCAGAGAGGATGACTTTCTGGCTGGGAAGAGTGGAACAGGACCATTAAAGAGGGATCCAAAGACACGAACGGACAAGTAGAGGGTGGGAGAGAACCAAATCACTTCTTCTGGAGTCAAATCTGAGCTTGGATACAGCAGGCCTTGACAATGCCAATGCACCTCAGAGGTACGAGGACACTAGAGAGCAGCCATGTGGTCTGACTGTCCTCAAGGAAGGAAGAAATGAAATGCTGGCCTGGAACTGATCCAGACATGGATTTTGATGGTACCATTACAGATCACTTGTTGGTACACTTTACAACTCAGGTTCATGAGGAGCCTTCTCATGAAGCACTCATGTCCCACTCTGAAGGTCACTGGGCTGGAAGAACAGAAACCATTCTGGTAAGGTTACATCCTCTGGCAGCTTTCTAGCCAACATCTGCAGCCATGGCCAAGACTGGAGGCTGGATGATGTCTGCTCACACGGAGCCTCTGCCCATAGGCTGGGTGATGTGTTCCATGTGCCTCTGTAGCATCCTACACGAGTCTCTACCTGCCCAGGGTCAACCTGTCTGTGCAGGACTTAAGGAAGGCTGCCTTTATCAGCACTCTGTCAGCAACATCAAGGCTGGGGTAGCCAAAGGACTACAGAATGCAGAAACGTGGGGCAGAGCAACCACCAAGCATGCAGTGCGGCCTCCAGATCCCATTTCACCTCTCCAAGGATGATTTAAGATGTGACCACACCACTACTAGATTCCAACCCTTCACACTTCCTACTTCAGTATGAAGTTTACCTGGACAAATGCAAACCAGATAATTAAGCTCAAACGTTAATCTCCCTTGGTACAGACAGGGCCAGCTGACTTGCAAACAGTTCTATGAAGAGACTTGGTGGTTTGGATGGCTTCATGCCTAACAAGAATAGGTGGCTGCTACTCAGCTTTCACGCCACCTCAGAACACATCACGAGACCATGGCAGTGCTTAGGACAGAGGCAGCTTCCAAGGTCCCCAGGTTCCAAGACAGAAGGCAATGGTTTTCCTGTCTTCTGCAGGACTGGGGTCAGTTTAGGGCACTGTGACTTAGGAGAGCCATGGTCAAGTCATCACTTAAAAGGTTTAAACAACTGAATCCCAAGAAAGGGGAAATAACAGGATATTCAAGCCCGGGTGTGTGTGAGGGGACTCAGGAAGCATGCAGGGTTCAGAAGGCTCACTGTTCCACAAAGGGACAGAACAATCTATGTCACTCTAGGTGACAGAGGTGGGGCCAAGGGGGAAAGAGAACATCACAGACGGCAGATTTTGGTCCAGGGAGTTCTAACATAGTTGTCCTTACCAGATAAGGCAGTGTGCACTGGATCAAATTTGTCAGAGAAGTGGGATGGCCATCTGGTAAGATGTTATAAGAGGGAACCCAGTTTGGGAAGGGCCTCACAAGACTCTTCCCAAAGTTATGTGACTCTGCACAATAAAGATGTCTGGCTCTGGCAAGACTGTTGCTAAGAGCTGGTCAAATACAAAAGAGGGAGAGGAATGCCAGAATGACCTACTCCTTGCCTCCCTAATCTTGGACCGTGGATTATCCCAAGCACTTTGGCAAGTGGTCCTGGAGAGCCTCAATTCTTAAGAGACTGCAAAAGGTCCCCATTAAACCAGAGTAGTGAGATCGCCCATTAACTTGACAGCGAGAGCCACTACTCTCAATTTCAGGTGTAATTAACACTCTACCCAGGCAGAATTGCTGTGCCTATTGGAAAATCATCTTCCTTAAGCAAAAGCCTGTTGCCAGGACAACAGGTTGGTGAGATGTGGAACTGGAGTTGGGAAGCACAATGGGGAAGGAGGGTGTTCCATCCGCCCATTTTTAAAAGGAATTTTTAGATACCAGCATAAGTGGGACTGTGTGTTCTCTCTCCCCCCACGTGGAAATGGGTTACTGTGCCTAGACTCAGATCCACTCAGAACTACCCAGTAGGGCAGGAAGAAGCCTGAGGGAGGGAGGAGGGATTAGAGTCAAATATTATGGCCTTCCAGCAAAATACAGTCTCTTCTCTCCCAAGTTAAACGCAGGGGGAAGATTCTTGCCCTTCCCTCAAGGGAAGGGATGAGAGCTCTGAGCTCACTCAAGGCCCCATTTCAAATGAGTATCTGCAGCCCAAGGTGAGGACAGCACTGCAGGCAAAGGGTTCTTCATCTGGAAGTAAAGTCAGGTCAGCCACTCAGTGTTTCAATTCCCATTTTTATGCTTCAGAATCAAGAGCCACCTCCAACAAAGAGAGGCTGAAACCTTTGGACTCTCAAAGAAAAAAACCAGGCCAAAGTAGGAGAAGGAGATGGACTCCTCAGGTGCACAGAGAGGTCCCTAAGTTTGGGGCAGGGAATTTGAGCCTCAGTAAAAGAACTGGCAGGCACTGGAGGAGGGAAGGAAGATGGGCTGGAAAGTTGGTGGCGGGGCAGAGATCTGGCACAAGCAGGCAGTTTCCATAGCCATCTTGCCCACTCCCCACTGACTGCCCTCCACACCTGGCTAGGGTCAGCTTGTTGGCAATGCTGACCCACCACAGAATTGTTTTCGTAATGCATGTGTTATTATATCCTTATAAAAGTGGCTGCCAGAAGTAAAACATTTTTATGTTCTGTGGCCACACAGATGTTCCACAAGTTGGTTCCAACTGAATCTGGAATCAGAGCTCAGCTGCCAATCCTCTGCAAGACCCCGCCTCTCATTATGAGATAGGGATGACACAGTCAAGTGCTTGGAAACTGGTGACCACTGTCCTCAAATGGGTGTGTCTTCACTGCCACCTGGCATCTTCTAGTGAGCACACCTAGAAGGGAAGGCCCGCAGAAGCCTGCCCTGCTCATCGGTCCTGTGGCTTCTTCCCAGCCTGGATCCCCAAGGCCCTGCAATGGAGTCCCAGAGGAAAGAGACTTGGCCTGTCTAGACCTCCACTTCCTTACCTTTAACTGCACTCTAAGGGAACTAATGAACATAAGGTGCGAGAGCAGTGCCTGGTGGAATGGTCACAGTTCATACCACCTGCTAAAGCATAGCTCCATTTCCAGGGCTCTCTGGTTCCTGGTGTCCAGCTGGTTGCCTCGCTGTGCTGTGGGCACATGGCTTGGGTTGGGCTAGGATTGAACCTACTGCCAATCCAGACAGTGTGCTCAGACAGTCCCCCAAGGAAGATTGGGGATTGTCCAGCATAGGGAAACTGAGTCTATAACTGTGTATGTTCTAGAAGGTCTGCAGTAGCAGCACACTGCTATTCTTTACTGAATATAAACCATGTCAAAATGGCATGAGCTTTCAACACCGACATCAGCAGCTCTACAATAAACACCCTGAGTTTCAGGTTACTGAAGTGGTCTGTCTGGGTCATACCTAGAAAGGAACAGGGATAGGACTGAACCAAGGTCTGGAGGATGTCTCTGAAACCTGTTTTTCTTCCATGAGAATTCTCTGGCAGCTGGATTCCGTATGCTTTACCAGAAAATCCAAGGACAAACCACAAGCCGGGGCTCAAAAATTCCGAGCAAGATCCACCCCTGCCATATCTGCCTCCTGCCTGGAACCTCTGACCCCTTCCTCTCCTGTCCTGTCCTCCACTGTGATACCAGCTTTTCTTCTGGGTCACTCCACCCCGGGTCATGACAAATATCCATCATTCGGATAAGTCACATTACTCCAGTGAGTGGTGCCATCCAGGCAACCCCATGGATCACAAGCCACCGCCTGCAGCTGCACTCCCTCAGTCCACCTGGGTTCCCTCCAACTGGAAGGAAGGGCTATGGGCTTCTGATGAAAATATACTGCCTGGCCTAGCTGCCATACCCAGGTCAGGAGAGGCCTTTCCTGCTAGGATTCCCAGATGAAGGCCACTGCTGCTGGAATTCTCCTGAAGACATTTGGGGGGGGGGGTGCCTGCGGTGTGGGTAGAGGGGAAATACTCTGCTTGCAAATGACTGTCTTGATCTCCCCAACTGACCCAACATTCCACCAACATTCCACCTTCATGTCTAAATATTTAGACTCTGAAAAGAATATCAAATGAACATCTGCAGGGCCTTTCCCTGGATGGGAGACCTCGGTTCTCTTTCCAGATTTACAGCTTGCCTCTTTCCCACGTCTCCACTGTCACACAGAAGTGACCTCGCAGTGTAGCTTCCTTTCCAACATGCTGGTGCCTGGCGCACAACCTTTTTCACTTACTTCACAACCTCCACACTGGGGCCTCCATGGCAGTATGACAAAGGGGCACCTTCTGCCCGCCTTTCCCTACATGGGACATCTGCCCTGGCAGGCGGGTTCAATGTGGCTGTAATGAGCTTCCACAAAGACTGTGGTTCATCTTCGCCGGCAGCCCCACAGCTGCAGAATTTGCCAATAACACTTTATCTCCTTGGCTTTCTAACTAATGTTCCTGAGAGACAACCTTGGGTGGGGGTAACAAACGGCCACAGTGAAGGGTAGGTCAGGGCTGAGGGAGCTCACCACCCGGGTGTGTTCTGACCAGCTGAGAAATGCAGCTGGGGTCATTCATCACTATGACAGGTACCAAGAGAAATAATCCAGCTCACTTGCTACATTCCTGGAAGCTACCTACCCAGGAAAGGAGGGGGCATAGGGCAAGCCTGGAATGCCCTGGGCCTGGGACCCCTGAGGAGAGCTGCCAGCAAGCTTTCCTGGACACTGCAGGTGGGGCCTGGAAAACCAGAAATGTACAGACAAGGGCCCCTGGTAGACATTGGAAAACTGGGATGCTGCCTGTCCTCACTGAACAGTGCTCCTGATAGCTCAGCAGGATGGCTCACAGGATCAGTGAGAAGCACTGTGGGCCTTCCCTCCTGCCACTGCGGGGTGAGTGTGCACAAGTGTGACTGTGTGGAGGCAGACTTTACGAGGAAAACCCTCAGCTGGGTCACTACAAGAACTGCACTGTGCAGGATAAGGGGAGTTCCCCTCTGGCCTCATCATGCACATCCTGGGGCCACCCCAAGCCCTACTGCAATACACTTTCCAACATACTGCTTGCTCTGCCTCCCACCTTGGCCCTCATCTTTTGCCTCAAGCCAACACCCACTTCTTCACTGACTCTTGTACAGGCATGCCCACTCCCACCCCTGGGAGCAGCCCAATCCAGACCTTGTCACTGCTTTCCTGGATGGCTCTAACAGCCCTCTGTCAACCCAAGCCTATGCTGGCTGGCAGGGCCATCTCCGGAAAATGCCAACCCCATTGATGCCTCGACTCCTTGAAACTCTCAAACCCTCTCCCTAACCCCAGGCTTGGATGTACCTCATGTGGCCAACTTGCCCATAGGGCAGTGTCCAGCCCAGGTGGCTCTGGCTGCCCAATGCACTTTCATCTCAGTATTTCTTTAGCATCCACTGAAAGTCAGGCAAGGGAGCAGGGGTCTGAATTCAGAGCAAAAAAGTATGATGTGGTAAAAAAGAACACTTTAAATTTTTTTGTCAGACCAATCTGGGTTCAAATCCTGGGTCTGCCTCTCACATTATAGGCAGATTCTTCAACAGCCTCAGTTTCCTCACCTGTTAAATGGGAAGGATAGCTCTGTTTTGCTTATGATCTAGATGGCCCACACAGCCACACGTGCTCACCATGTCACTGATTTGCTCAACTTTTCTGGAACTCCTTCGAATCCCATCCAAGGCAATCACAGTCCCTTTTCCAGAGTTCATCTGGGACTCATAGCTAAACCCCTCAACCTCATTTCCCGTTTGCTCAGAAGCTGTGCATCATTCACTTAGATTTGCCTACCTCACTGCCCCCTTCCCTGCTTTTGGTTACTTACATTGGAAGTGAGCCCCAGCTTTAATGCACCTCAGATGAATTATGAGACTGGCCATAAGAATGATGACAGAAGCATGAATTTCCTTAGTAAAGCCCCAAAAGCAAAAGGCAAAGCAAACAAGGCAAGGTGTGCTGAGGACAGCCACTCACCAGGCCCGAGTTTGGCTTGGCAGGGGCCACTGCTCATGGCAAGCTGGAACCAGACACTGGCCATGGGCTGACAGCTCTGATTTAAACTACTAGGAAGATGGAGGATTAAATATTTGTCCAGGTCACTGTACACTGGGTGGAACTATAAACAGTTTTGAGCAGCGAGGATGCAGGAAGCAGACTCCGACGAGATTTCAGGTTTCCCACCCATTCCCTGGGTGGCAGGGTACAGAGTCGGGGGGGGGGCTGGGGGGGCGGGTACAGGCTGTAGTAGAGTTGGTTGCCTGGGGTGTTCAGCTAGCCCTCCCTCCATCAAGATACCCAGAAGGCAAGGGCCCACATCCACACAGAAGGATGAGTTCCACCCTGGGGTACTAGTCCTTGGTACTGGGATGGGAGGACACAGTTCTGCCCAGAGGCCAGATGAAGGGATCCCAAGCTCTTTCTAGCCTCTGGACCACAGCACAGCAGAGTCCACAACACAGCAGAAGTGGTGGGGATTTTGCATGTGAGGCTGAGGCTCCAATATGCAACTCAGGTGCTGGTCTACTGCCTTGCAATGCATCATTTTTCACATGCCTATAGTTGCTGTGTGACTCAGAATGCAAGTCCACTTAAGAGCTTTACTAAGCTGATGCTTTCTGCCTTGTGATTCTATCAAAAGTTAACAAAAGCATAATTATAGTTTCGTTTTTGGTGTTGGGGATGGAAGCCAGGGCTTTACATATGCTAAGCAAAACCCTCTTAATGACACCACTAAGTGTCATTATCTTACCAGCAAAAAATACATCTGATGCTGAGGGGAAATGCTCATACTTGAAAGCTAGCCATGTAAGAATGGAGGGGTTCCATGCAGTGGGCTCCCCCAGAGTGTTCAGCCAGTATCAACCCCCTGAGGGAATCAGGCTGTGCTTGGTCTCACTTCCTTATCCCCCTTCACACAAAGCTCCCTTCTGCACTGTACTGAGCCCCAGCTGAAGGCCTCTCTTGGGATGGGATGCACATATAAGTGGTCTCAAAGGTTGCCAAGGGTCTGAAATCCATTGAGATGCTTCCAGTATAGTGTCTAATGCAGAAGTTAAGAGAAATCTGCTCCAGGAGCAAGCAGTGCCTTCTAGTCTATGCTCTAAGTTCAGCTTAGACACAGCCTGGAAGGGATGTCTTGGAGCCTGTTGCTAGTGTTACTAAGAAAAAGAGGGGTGAGAGAAACAGGCAGGTAGTACTTCTCAAATTTTATTGTGGTAATAGAACTCCCTGAAAAATTTGTTAAAAATACGGATCCTAGCCAGGTGCTGGTGGCCCACAGCTCAAAGTCAGCCCAGGCAAATGGTTCTTGGAAAACTCAACAAAAAAGGAGCTGACAGAGTAGTTCAAGTAGAACACCTGACTAGCAAGCGTAAACCCCACTATCTCTCTCTCTCTCTCTCTCTCTCTCTCTCTCTCTCTCTCTCTCTCTCACACACACACACACACACACACACACACACACACACACACACGGTAGATTCTGAGTTTATGAGTCTGGGTGGGGCCCAAGATATCTGCATTTCTAACAAGCTCTTGGTGATGCTGATGCTTGCCCTCAGAGTGACTGAGTCAGCAAGATGAGACACCCTGAGCTGCAGGAGGGCTCCAAAAGATGGCAAACTCTTGAAACACAGGATAAGCGTAGAGAACAGGGGCAAGGCGAGCCCTGATGAAACCATGACCAAGCTTGTAGTCACTTTCTCCTACCACGGCAGGAAGCCAGCTAGGAAATGGCAGGTGTGCAACCATGTGTAGCTCAGAGGCACTGACATGTTGACATGAAGCCCTCCTTACATAATGAATTTACAGGTGACCAAACACGTTCCCCTAAGCTGGGAGAACTGTTCGCTTACCTCTGCAGGAGGTCATTTCTGAGAATGGCACCTGTAGGAACTAGCAACTGGCTGTGAACAGAAACTGTACCTGTCTGGTAAGGCTGCCTCCAAGGTTCATGGTGCCCGAGCCAGATTTATTGGTTTGCAGCCACAGCATCACCGTGGAGGTCAACTTGTAATGGGCAGTGCGGCCACTGGACTTCTCCTAGGGGGACAAGACGAATAGAACCCAAGTGAACCTGAGCTGAAGAGGGCCTCGAATGTTCCCTTGAGTCTAGGGTTATTTTATATGTACCTTCCTAAGCCTTCACCACAACATTCCCTTCCCTATAAAATCCCAACTCAGTTTTAAAGGGGCAGAATCTGTAATCATGTGCAGTAAGTTCTTCAGAGATCTTCAGTGTCAGTGATTACTGCAATCTTGACTTATCTTTATCCAAAAGGCTTGAAGGCATTTTTAGGAATTAGTGGGGGCTTATATATGGCAGAAGTCCCCTTACAGAAACATCTGGAGACTGGGCATGACACTTGCACTAAGAGGCCCTGACCACCAGCTGCTGGGGAGGCCGTACCTGCACTTCTACCACATGGATAGAATCCCAGCAGCCTTTGATCTTCTTTGATCCATCTCCAGCCTTCTTTATGAGGATCACTCCAGCAAAGCCATGATCCAGATCCCAGAGGTAGACAGACGAGACGCCACCTTCAAAATACCTGCAAGAGACAGGACCGTATGCCCATTAGATGAAAGTCAAGTTGCAGACAGACTGTTGACCCTGGTCCCAGGTTGTCATTCAGCAATGATGCCAGGCTGATCCTTAGACGTGTCCTATCATCCCTATGTTGGGGTTGGGGTGTTGAAAATGTAACAGAAAAATATAGGCTTAGGGACTTCGAAGATAATTTCAGTTTGAACTCTGAGTCTTTGGCAAGCTTACTAAACTTCTTTGGGCTTCAGCTTCCTCCCAGATAAAGATCCAGCACAGTGTGTGAAACAACAGTAGACAATCAATGGAAGGCATCACTACTGGAGTAATTACTATTACAGATGACTATGTATAGCATTTCTGTCTGATGAGGAAGGCTATTTGACAGGAGAAACAGGAAAATACAGCAACCCCACCCCACCCCACCCCCAAGCAAACCAAGGTTCCTTTTGATCTTTCAAAGTAACTTGCTACAAAACCTGACCTATGGAAATGAAGGGCTAAGCTTGGGACATAACTTCTTCCTCAGATCTGAGTCAACATAGAAAATTTCCTAGTTATGACCAAATTCAAGAGGGAAAGAAAAGGCCGGCAGAATAGGTAATCAGGATGGCATCCCAAATCCAAGGGTGATGGGGACAGGCTACCATGAATAGAGATCCACAGAGTGAAACCAGATGATCTGATCTCAGAACAACCATGATTCCAGGAAATCACATCTTTCATGGTCAGCACATTTCCGATCAGAAAGCCCAGAGCCTCTGACCCCAGGAAAACCTGGGTTACTAGTGCAGCAGGCACACCTTGGGAACAGGCCAGCAGGGATGACACCACAGGATCTCAGCTCTGACAGCAGAAGACTGGCTACAAGTACACAATGGGCACAGACAAATGTGGGCCAGGGCCAGCTGCTCCCATGATGAACTCTGATCATGGCTTAGCAATGATTTGCTAAGAGCAGACACAATCAGGGGCCAACTGCATGAACCTGGGCCACAGGGATGATATCTAATTTACAAGACTATCGAGAGACAAAGATAAAGCAGACACTTGACAAATGATTATCATTTTCGACATTACAATTAAGTACAAAAAAATTAATATTCATTTGTGGACTATATTCCATTAATACAGTAAAAAGGTACACATGGAAATATTAGTGTCTAGAGAATGCAGGTGAAGGAAATACAGAATTCTTTGGATATTGACACTCCATACTAAAGGTTTCATATCCTAGGACTCAACGAACTTTGGATTGAAGATACACACACAACACACACACGCACAAAATCACATCTGTACTGAACATGCAGACTTTTTTCTTGTCATCAGTCCCTAAGCAGAACAGTATTACAACTATTTACACCGCATTTACAGTGTGTTAGGTATTACAAGTCATCTAGAGATGACTTAAAGTGCACAGAAATACTGCTTAGGCACATGCAGTCACTGTACCATTTTATATAAAGGACTTGAGCATCTAAGGACTTCGGTACTATGGGGAGTCCTGGAACCAACCCCCTGCAGCACTGAGGGCCAGCTATATTGGTTTTGCAATTTTACTCTAAGTCTAAAACTATTTCCAACTAAGATATTTTTTCAAAAATCAGTACACGATACATACCAGAGTGTAACTAAGAGACAATCAGACAAAAGGAGCCACCCTCCTGACAGAGGACACAATGTAGGCACCACAGCTGTTTCATCTTTGGGTTCTTACCCACTAAGGGGCATAGACCATCCAGGGAGTCCACTCATGCTGGCCACTTTCACTCCCCGCCCCGCCTCCAAGGTTCCCTAAGGACTAGGGCCACCTCTGCTGCAGGACTCCATCCTGTTCCCACTGTCCACCTCATCCGTACCCTACTTCAACCTGAACTCATGGTCCTGCTTCCCACTAGCCAACAAAGGAGTCCATCAGTGAGCACCTGCTGGTTAGCATTAAGGTGTCAGGCACGGAGCTCCATGCTGGTCGGATGTGTGTTGGCGGCGGCAGGATTATGCGGAAAAGAATGTGGGAACGGGCACAGGCACCTTGGGGATCAGGGCTCAGGGTCATCTTGGGGAAATCCCAGTCGCTGACTAACACTGGCATGCTCAGGCACCCACTCTGGAACATATTTCTCTCATTCTGAATCCTTCTCCAAACTCCCCCTCCCAGAAGGGGTGAGGTAAGCTAAAGTATTTTGGTTTAGGACCCTGGGGTCTGCACCAGCCCTGCAGTCCTTTCTGGAATGCTCTGGGAGGGACAGGGATGGATGGGCAACCTCCAGATTAGAGCCCTGCTGGACCCACAGTTTTGCAGTGCTCAGGTGATTCACAACATGGGCTCATGCGCCTTCTGGATTATTCTCCTAAATTCTGGTGACTCCTTTGGGCTTCAAGTTAACCTGAGAGGCCAGATAAAGAGCAGCCCACAGCAGACCTTTTGTTGTGGCCCTGTCAGTGATGGAGGGTGTGGCCTAAGATAGAATTTTCCCTTCTGGTCTGCTTGCAGAGAAAGCAGCCTCACGTCAAAGGGGAAAGACAACTTTAAAAACGGAGGCTGCTTCTCCGTTTAGCAACAAAGCTAGTCCTATCATTCCCTCTTTCCTTGGCCATGCCTGAAAGCTACGTCGAGGCTCGGGAGCCACGGAATTGTTCTTGTCAGAAGCGTGCTTTTAGGTCTGCTAGGACACTGGTGAAAGACAGGGTCAGGCTGCCCTGGAAGGGAACCAGGAGAAACTCTGGTGGCTTGACAGCCCTTGTCAACACCATTCAGTGACCAGTTCAAAGCACCAGGTGGCCTAAGGTTAATCCACTCGTTTCCTTCCCTTAGCTGTCTGTTTTCTTCCAGAAAAACAAAGCAGCAGCATTTATGTTTTTACGGCAGATTTGGCTGTTTGCACTCCAACGTCCCACCTCGTGGCCTGGCTCCTGCTCTGGGCAGCTTCTCTCTGGCATCCCCAACTTCCTTTATGGGCCACACAGATCATGTTTGAAGTTTCAAAATGCCAGAGATGAAGGAGGTAAAACTGCAAGCCCAATTGTAACCTCCTTGTGAGCTACCATTCTTTTCCCCAAAATTAAAAAACTTATTGCAAGAGCATTATTTTTTAAAAAGGAAAATTTAAAATTAGCCCACAATACCATAATTCAACATATCCCATAAGTCTGATTTTTCCAGAGTTCCTTCCAGTCCTTGTCCAGATGCCTGGCTTTTATATAACCATCAGTACAGCAATGGAACCGTGTTAAGCCTTTTTTTTTTTTTCACTTGGCACCTAATCTTTAGCACTTTTCCGTGCAGCCACATGATCTCCTAACTGTCGTAATAGCTGGGCTAGTACTCCATCAGCAGGATCCTCAGTTACCATGGATTTGACTTTTAAAGTCCTGATAGCAGCAGAGCAGAGGCAACGTTCACTCTGACTGAGTTCCCTCTCTGAACAAATTGGGGTGTTCCCTACTGGGGTGGGGCGGACATGCCAGGACTTGGCCCCCTCAGGCATGGCCCAAACACCACAATGATTCAAGAATGGACTTGATTTCAGGCACGAATAGGGACCTCCAGGGATGTGAACGGCCACAAGTCTCAACATAACATCCAAGACAAAGGGAATGAGGCCTGAGTGATCAGGGCTGCTTTGGAATCACCCAGAAGCACCGGCCTCATGCACAATCAGGACAACACCTTGTATGGTCAGGTGGGATGTGACTTCAGGGTGTACAGATAGTCCCATGACATGGTTTACGGCTTTACTCTGTGTGAAGCATTAATTAGAGAGGGACTTCAGCAAGTCTCTGAAAATTTATTCTTACCTACTCTACTTTGATCACAGTGACATGAAACAAAGGAAAAAATAATTTTTATGTGGTCCGCATTTATGAGTTTTTACATAAAGGCTTTTGTGGGTATTTTAAGAATGTGCTAAAATGTTGTCTGAAACCACATGAAGCCATCTGAGGAGTCGCCGGCAGAACTAACAGTGCACACATGGAAGCACTTTCACTGGCCTTTGTATATTTAATGAGTCAAATAGTATTAATATTGTTTAAATGCTAACATGCTATTTCAATAAGGTAGCTTTGCTATGGCCAGCGACCTGCTCTCGGGCACTGCACATCAATGTGAGTGAGTGATCAAACGTGGCCAAGCGTTGAGAGCAGGCCACATAGGAATTAACCTGCCCTGCCTGGAGCTCTGCCTGTGCTTGAGAATTCAAAACCCCAGCTCTCCAGGGAATAAGAATGGGCTCAGGACTGGCTGCCACAGCTCAGCCAACTGGGTTCAAGAGGGAAAGTCCAGAGTGTTCTGACAGTGAGCTTTCTGACTGAGAGGCACAGAGAACATTAGTTAAATATGAAGGCCCAAAGAGGAAATCACGGGCTCTTCTAGGGCCTCCTACCTAACTGGAAAGTCAGGCAGCACACATAGTCAACATGTAAAATAACCTGCTCAAATCAGGACTCCCCACTAGCAGGATGACCCAGTGACAGTCTCAGGAAGACTACAGAGACGTCACCTTGGAAAACAGTTGGATTTTGAAGCCACGAAGCCTTGGAGAGCTCCAGAAGTGGGTGGAGATGACAGATCAATCAGGGGTGACCAGGAGCAGAATGCTGGCATCACCTCTTTGCTGATGTCCACAGGGTCAACTGAGTGCCATCAACTCCATAAGCAGTACTGGTGGCCCCCAAGACTTTCCCAGGAGAGATGAACATTTGCTAAGGCAGATGGACCTGCCAAGGATTCAGACAGCCAGGACTAAGGTGACAGGGCCACTCTCGTTTGGAACTGCTAAGTGCAACCATTTGAAAACAGCATGGAGATTACAAACAGGCAGACATAGGTTTCACACATTCCAAATGCTCTTGTCACTAGCCAAGACCTCTGCACCAGATGAGCCAAGAACAAAGGGCAAGACCCTCAGGTGGGGCTGGCTACTTGCCAGTGTAATTACAATTAAGCACCTGGTTGAACTTACTCTCTGCCATCTGTAAGGTCCTTGAACTTGGATCGGCTCA